CTGGAAATCTTGGAACTTGGAAGTCCTGGACAGCTGTGCGCACATATGAAACTATCAACCGGGAGCGGCAAGCAGCGACAGCCAAATGTGCAACGTATTGCGCAACTGCCCCGGCCCAGCTGGAATAACTAATAACTGGTTTTTGAAGTATAACGTTATAACTATAACCATAGAAAAGGATAATACTCAGTATTGTCCTTTTCTATGGTATAACCGCAAAAAGTTACAACTACTGGACTTGGACTTAAACCTATTGGACTTAATTCGCTTGAACTTGTGAATAAAATTAATATTAGTAAAACCTGCTCATAAATACGTATGCAGAAATCGGTTTTCATGAAGATATTTTAACTTTCCGCAAATTCTATGGTACAGAATCCTTCAAATAATTCATGGAACAACATCCACCATTAAAACCAATTCTTTTTCCACTTCGCCGTTTGCAATTTAACAAGGCCAAAGAAACACCCAGACAAAGTAATAATTAACAACTTTATTTTTTTCCGATGAAAGGGTTAACAAATTTCTAACAAACAAAGACATTGGCCAAACTTCCAAAAAAAGTGAGATATACAACCAAGCAACTCAGCAGTCGGAATTCCGAAAGTTCATTACACAAATTTATGACATCAGTCAGTAAGGCTTGAACTTCCGCATTGCTTTCATTTGTGCGATTTTCTGCTTGTCCTCTTCAAATTTTCTCCTTAATTCAGTCAACTCTGCAAAACCAGACCAAAACCATTCAGACCGAAATAACACTTTAACAACACAAAAATAAACTTACGTTTAACTTTTCCTTCGCCTTTTTGGAATTTGTAAAAATTCAAAAGCTCCTAAAACATAATTCAACGCATGTATAAAAATCAGACAAACGCAGTCGCAAAATTCAAACCTTTTCGGAAGCTTTCTTTTTGGCTGCAGTCCGTGTTGTTTCGTTCATAACGTCCACCTGGCGAACGCCGCGTTTCTTTCCAACGCGGGTAACCGTAACCCATCCCTCTTCATCGGCGACGCCTTCGTTGGCTTTGGCGTGCAGTTTTTCCCGTTCTACTCTGGCGTCATATTTGTCCATATATACGTCAATTTCTTTTCTCATATCGACAACGCTGGGTAAGGGTTGTCTGTGTTCCCTGATCCAAGCTAAAAATTAGATAAAACTCCGACGCGCATACACATATGTACAAGCCATATCTAAATAACTTAGATATCTGTTTTACAAATACATGAAACTCTCAAAAAATCCAAAACAATATTTACATGACCTACAGAACAATATTACACGAACATTACTATATTACACAAATTTATATGATCCAACAGTTGATTATGTCTACTTCTTTATAATAACCCGTGTCCACTGCAATGCATTCAGTTACTTGAAAGCCCAGACTGAATGGGAGCATCCTCCGTAGATAAAACCAACGGATCATTTTCGCTGCTACAGAAGGCAATCAACTTTTTCACAGATTTTCCACTCCGGAATAGAACGTAGGCGGTTTTGTAGGACTATCCAAAAAATCATCAGATTACGACGTTTTGCAGATTTCTTTGGTGAGGAAAAAAACAGACTAATACTCGTATTTACACTAATCGCTGTGCCAGTAGTTTGGAAAAACGAGTCAGATTCATATTTAACCACGCTGCCCACCGACAACCGTTTTAGGAAGAAAATGTCCTCCACCCCACCAAATTTGGCAAACGCAGCGCTAAGCGTCTCCTAAAACATTTAACAAACACAACTAGAATAAATACTGCCCCAAGGCCCCCAACAAAACAGTTACAACAACCAACCAGAACAAAAAAGCACCCACAAAATTTTGCCTAATTTGATCGAAAAATTTAACCACAGAATTATGTATTTAATTAATGTACAATATTACAGAGTACATACGCGTACGTAAAATTTAATTCACGACAAGACGGACAAGTCAAACGTTTCTTCTATCGGCAAAAATCAATTTTTACCTTATCTAAGTACGGAGGAATGTTCAACAGGACAGCAGTTCGCTCTTCTGGTATTAATGGATTCTTTTCGATGGAGCGCTGTTTCGCCACAAGAAGCTGCCGTATAACTCCGGAAGCTTCCTCCGTTTTCCAGCGAAGAACTGAATACAAATGCAGTTTACCACCCACATCTGCTGACATTTAACACATCTGTTGACATGAAGTACTGCCGCAATAAACGGAAAGCAAGTACGGAGCCAAAAATTTACTTGCGAACCTTGGAAATCCATCCGAACCAACAAAAACGGTAGCAATGTGACTTATGAGTATGCCTTTCCAGAGATAAAAGTAAAACGTTCAACTTTCAACTTTCAACTGTTTCAATCAATCAAATCATCACTGGTCCAGGACATAACACTGGTTCTTAATTATGCAATACAAAAACGATAACAAAAATAACTTTCGAAAAGTAATCTCATAAGTTTCGAAACGTCGAAAAAGCCAAAAACTTCGAAATAAAAGTGTGTGAGCGACCAGCACTGAGCGTAAGAAAACTATTGATGCCCGTTGGGAATTCCTGTAACTGCTGTTCTGAGGGTGGCCACACGACGCTCACGCTGATTTTTGCAAAAAATCAGCGAAGGAGAAAATCGAAGTTGTGACTTATTAGTTGTCACTTAACCAAAATTGTGTGAAAATTACAAAAGGGAAAAGTTTTACTTTATAACAGATACCATTAGCAAAGCAGTCTGTTTTCTTTGATCCGGTTTCCTGGAGAATGCTGCCGATAAAGCGAGTAGTCTGCGGTGTTTCTGGAGGTGTCGACAGCTGCATATCGGCTCTGATACTGAAAAGGAAAGGTACGTATAACGTAAGTAACTCATGTTATCATTTATCATGGATTTGTTTTTGTTAAGTATTGCACTCCGTTGCAGTGTTCGCATTAAATTCCTAGTAAAAATGATTCAGCGTGGTGAAATTCTTTACTTTGAAATCTTTCGCTGCTGGCATTAGGATTCGATGTTATCGGAGCTTTCATGCGTAACTGGGATTCGAAAGACGAATCAGGACAGTGTACGCTGGACAAGGACTGCGAGGACGCCGAGAACATCTGCCGCAGGCTGGAGATCCCGTTCCATGAAGTCAACTTTGTGAAAGAATACTGGAATGATGTGTTTACGTGAGGATCGCATGATAATTATCCATTTTATCGCCGCCAGTTCGTCATTGATTTTTGCAGACCGCTGTTGCACGACTATCAGAGCGGCTTGACGCCGAATCCGGATATTTTATGCAATCGGCATGTGAAATTCAAATGCTTTTTGAATTATGCCAGAGAAAAGCATGGTGCTGATGCAATCGCTACGGGACATTATGCACAAACGTCCGCTGGACCGTTCCTTGAGGAAATGATCCCTGGAAAACGTAAGGTGTAATGATATCGTGTTTTTAATCAAGAAGGAACGCAAGTTACGCAACGCATTTTGTTAAAAAAATCTCCTTTACAGTTGTAAGTTCTACTGTGGAAATATTATGTTTTACTGTAAAAATAATAATAAATTTTTTTTCTGAAGTTGCAGTTGTTGCTGAAATTTTTTTAGGTTGCTGAAGTGTGAAGAATGCTTTACAGTAATAAATAATGATGACGCAATGAGTACTGTCTTTTTAGCGGTGAAATTGTTCAAAGGAAACGACCCTATTAAAGATCAGACACTTTTCCTCTCGCAAATATCTCAAGATGCCATACGGCATACGATGTTTCCAGTTGGAGGAATGCTGAAAAAACATGTAAAAAATCTTGCGATCAAAACTGGCTTCAAAGACGTTGCAAAGAAAAGAGAAGTATTTTCATACGACGGTGATTGCGCTACCTGCTGAACAGTACATGGGGTGATCAGGGTAGTGGATGCTTGTTTTAGAGTACCGGTATCTGTTTCATCGGTAAGCGGAATTTTGCGGACTTCATGCGAGAATATTCGCATCCTACACCTGGACGATTCATTGATGTTGATTCGGGAGAAGTCGTCGGTCGACACGATGGTATGACTGATCCTTGCTTTCAGTGCTCTCCTGCTTTAGTTTCCGTTTTTTGTTGTAGGGGTGCAGTTTTTTACTATCGGACAAAGGGCTTTAATAGGAGGACGCAGTGGGGCTTACTATATTGCTCACAAAAATAGCAAAACGAACGATATGTTTGTGGTCAGCACTTACCGGCATTTACTGTTACATCAGATTTAGAGTCAGGTTCCATGCATATGTAGCAATCACTTGTAAAAATTCTGCATCCGCAAACTTTTAACAATTACTGTTTAGCTGATGCCTAAGGCTACAATTATAAGTGCAGTATGTGTATTTTGATTTGGCATTTATCGGCTTCTTACGCATCGTTGTGGCTTCTGTAACTTTCTTTTTAAATTTATAGGCTTTGAATCATGATAATCCTGCTCTGTTCAGCAAGACATGCAGTGTCAGTGATATGCATTGGATATCTGGTTCCCCGCCGCCTTCGCGTGAAATGGAATGCGATTTTCGTTTTCAACATGCAAATCCTGTTGTGCCCTGTAAGATCGCAGTTCAAGACAATCCCGCTTGTGTCTCCGTTACATTAAGACACAGATTATACGCGCTAACCTTGGGTCAGTACGCGGTATTTTATAACGGAAACGAATGCATTGGCAGTGGACGGATCACTTCTACGGCAGTCTCGGAAGCACTGGATGAAAAATTTAAGAAAATCTCTTCCTTGACGTACGGTTTTTTGTCAACAGAAAAGAACCGCGCATCTGTGTGATAATACTTTGACTGTTTGATGCTAATATTTCGAATTTAACCAGGCCATATGCGTATCGAAGCTGATTTGTACAACTGTACTTATCTTTCTCTACGAGTAACTGACTTGAAAAAAGTTGTTTCCGGGCGAAGAAACTGTCCGTCGCAACAATAATTAAAAAATAAAAAACAATACTGAAATACAAAACAACGGTATATCACTTAATGCCAGAACTTTCTTCTCTTTCGGACTTCTTATGCTTGGCATGATGGTGTTTATGCTTATGCTTCTTTTTCTTTTTGCGATGCTGTTCTTCCTCTTCTTCCATTTTTACCGTCGGCGATCTATCACTCGGTGAAGGTGCGTTCGACGAATCTCCAACCTAGAAAAAAAAGCGCAAAATGGTATGGAAATACGATTAAAGGCAGTTAAGCAAGTACTCGTACGTTATGTATTTCAATAAATAACATAACAGAAAAGTTACTGATCTTAATGCACAACCATTTCTTGATAACAAAAATTGCTAAAATAATAAGATGATTTTAGCAAAGAGCCAGATATTACATAACAACAGTGGTGCATACTCTGAATTTAATCTTTGGATGGTAAGGAGATGCAGGGTTAAAGATCGACTCGGCTCCCTTGTCCCTGTCCAAATCCACAGATACGTCTTTGGACGGTCCCGGGACATCCTCCGGCACTTCTTCCTTGATCTTGACTGGACTAGCAGGTTTCTCCGGATTTAGCGCCGCTTTATCCGCCAAATTCTCCTCCTCCAGTGTGGCCATAGCCGCATCGCTCAGTACGGCTTTTCGTTCCTTGAGATTCAATACCATTCCCAAATCTGGTATGGGAACACAAGCGGGCCGACGCTTGCCATACAGCACATTGTACAAATCCACAATGTCACACCGCAACCGTGCATCGTACGGAGTCTCGTTATTCATCCATTTCCACAGTCTCTCTACCAGATTCTCTGAGCTCAGAGCGCAGTCTTCAGGCTTTGCGGCATCAGCTGTAAACGGCGGGTTACTGATCATCAACCGAAGAATCTTGTGGCGCATAAACACATCGTAATCGGTCGCCGCAGCCGTTAAGAGGTAATCAAACAAATCTGCATTGGGACTGTTTTTGGCGGTGGTTTTTAAATGGTCAACTAAATGCTGATATGCGGCAATTCGTACTGGACGATACAGCTTCCCATCTGTATAATCTTTGTAGGTTTTTACACACCAGTCAGCTGGTAGTACTCCGTGTTTGTGCATATTCCGAATGGCATTCAAGCAGCTCACCGTAATCACGAACTGATATGATGGCAATAATTTTTCTTGGTTCAGCGCGCGGAAGATATTTTCCATGCACTGTTTCGATAAATTACTCAGCTGTTCGAATTGGAATTTCGGATCCTCCGATACGGACAGGGTTCCGGCAACTTCGCTGAAAGTTTCTCCAAAGGCTTCAATAAGAGAAGCTCTGAAAAATGAAAAACTATCAGACAATATTCACACAACAAAATAAATTAATCTCATTACATAAAAAGCCAGAGTGATCTTCATCGGTTCTTGTAGTAAAGCATTTCCTCATGTCAAGTAGGAGTTACAACGCAAATGTTCGACAATCAAAAAGTTAAAATTAGGCAAAAACAGATTTAAATGTTACTATCACTTACCGGTAATACGAATCTGAATAGAAGTTGCGCTTATTTTCGTTGTACTTCCACATATCCAATAACATATTCACAATTTCCGGCGGGCAGACATTGACAGGATTTCGCAGTTTCGCCATATATATGGGAACATTTTTCTGGATGTAGTAACGGATGAAGTGGTGGAAATCATTTCTCTTGACAATGTTGCTTGTATTGTGCGTAACTGTGGTCGGTAACCGCACAAAAAATAAACTTTTGTACATTCTGGACATAGGCGGAGGATTGATCCACGGAGCACCGGACAGAGCGAGCTTGTTGGATAGTCTGCTAAGAGCATCCGCGGCAGCCAATCGAATACGATAAAAGATCCTAATTATTGAGATTCGTTCCAGTTTATTAATCGAAACTTGTACATAATCAGCTTTTTAAAAATTAAACCTAATCAATGCAAAACGATTTCGTACGTACGGCTTTTCATCGCATTATTATGATTACGAAGACTAAAAATAATGCGTAAATTTACTTCTGGTCCTCAACAACTGTGCTTAAAACCGCCATCGTGGTTCTTTGCAATTTCTCGTCCATGGGGAAATTATTCAAAGCATCCAGTGCGAAAAGTTGTGACACAACATCTCGCTCATGCCGCACAATGTAATGCAGGTGGTAATCGGGTTGCTCAAACGTAATATTGCGGATAATCGTCATATCTGGATCAATCCTGTAGAATGACAGCAAGATCAAATCAGCTCAGTACTAGGGGATTTCAAGATGAAATAGAAATAATCAATAAAAATCCACCCTATTCCACGAAATGTTTCACAAACCTGCTGCTAATCATTAAACATAAAAATCGAAAGCATTTGCGGACTGCACTAACGAAGTGAAGGCTTGTTTAACTAGTTCGATAGTTCAAGCAAGGACAACGCCGGGAAACGCCAATCAGCTCAAAATCGTTGCTCATTTTCACTAAGCATCCGATCATCGCAGATGTGATTCCGATGATATCGATTCATGCTCTTAATTTACTAGAAAATTTTTACCTAATCCATAAGACTGGACAATCCGCATCAATGGTTACGTCAGGGAGAGTCATGATGTCGATTTCCTCCCCAGTCCACAATGGAATTTTCTTCTTCTTGTAACGACGAGTTTTGGAGTGGCACACAAGATCATATTTACTGGAATTTTCTTCGATTTGAGCGGTGTGTTTCGAACTCCCATCCAGCTCTTGCAGGACAATAGGTAGCGGTCCGACGTACGAAGTACATCCTTTACCTAAACCAAACGGATTCAATAAAGTTACAGTACAATATATGCGAAAAATTTAAATCAATACCAGTTCAAAAACAATAATTTTCTCAAATTTTAAAAAATCTTTGGTATGAACCGAAAGCTTATTAGAGACCTGAAAAGGAAAATTACTAAGGGAATCCTGAACATTTTGCAGTAAAAACTCAGAAAAAACCTGTCAGCCTTACTTCCAATTTCCTGGCTCAATTCCATTTCGATCGCATTTCGTTTGCGATTAAAAGAAAATCTCCCCTTAAAACGAGCATGCCCCCCTGCCAATACCCATTTATCCATAAAGGGTTGAATACTGTTAGCCGTAACAGCGTTAATGCTCTTGGCAAAATCTTCCGTCGACAACAGCAGACCGGTCCACGATGGGTATTCGGGGGATGCAGCTGCCACTGCAGCCAGAGACAGTATCTTGTTACAGACTTGCGCTAAAACCTGCGCGCCAATCCGCTCCTCCAACATCCGCACAACCAAATGCGCTTTGATGGAATAAATGCGAATGTACTCTTCGGAACATGTTTGTGGATTGCGGGGAGAGAAGTGAAAATGCGCCGGCAGTTCGGCTGGAGGCACCAGAATGACCGGGTGGACATCTCGCTCGAAAGCAGTCAATTCTTTCATTTGTTGATACATCTACAAAAGATGTTCCCGAAGTTTTTTCATGTACATATTACGCACTTAATTATCGGAACTTTGTTCAGCCGATCAAAGTGCTATCGACTAAATTTCTAATGGCCCTACATCTTTAATGTGCCGACCAAAAAAGCTCACCTGAAAGCGGTATTCATTGTTGCCAAAATACTTTTTGTAGTAGAGACCATGGAGGTACTGTGCGACACCATTAACAATCCAGAGATCATTCCACGATGCTGGTGTCAAGTACATGCCAAAAAACTGCCGACAAGCACCCAGCGCCATGATACTTCGCGAAGGAATGTTCATCTCAATTACACTCTTCGGAAACAGGAAACTGCAGTTAATGACACTCATGCTGGCATATGACATGATATCGGCAAAGGTTTCGTCCACAAAAACTGCAACAAGTATATTCTTCGCTGATCTTTGCGTTGTCCAATTAATACCTTTTGCGACAGATGGTGGCGTACACATAGTTTTTGCCAAATGTCTTGTGACGCGAGCATTATCAATCTTAGTATCTTACCTTGCTTGTATACCGGATACGGATAACCACACGCCAAGTACTCTTCACAAAACTCAAATGACTGGTGAAGAAAACTTATGGAATGCTTCAATAGCGGCAGCAATTTTGGTAAACAATAGTGAACCATTTCATTTCTTCCTGGATCCATGTAGAACTCAAACGGCCTATGAAAAACATACTGTATAAATACAGGACTTAATAGTACAATGAACTACCAAGCGACGAGACGCAATGTGTAAATTGATTCAAACATACCCGACAGCAAGAGCAATCTGCGGCGCACTTGTGGGAATATTCATGGTGAAATGGAATATTTTTTGTTTATTATCCGGCGTTATTTGGATTTCAGATGCTTCGCCGCACGCCACAGCAATCATTTCATGCGGCACAGTAATTTCCAGCTTCCACGTACACAATTCCGAGAAGGAATCCACGCAAGGGAACCATAAGCGTGAACTATTTTCATGGCTGCCGCTCACCAAATAAGCCCCGCGTTGAGCCATACTTAATTCAGCATTATCGTGCGGAAACTGCGGTACAACAAAGTGCAGTCCATAGGCCGGTTTCTCCAGCATAAATTCAATGCCGACAATAATCAGATCGTGTGCATGACTCCTGGTGGTCGAAGGGCCACTCGATAATGTATACGAAGGAGCATAACGTGATGGTAACGTAATAGCTAATTCTCCGCCACCATATTCGGCATCCACCATCCTCACCGAGCTGGCGTGACAATTTGAGAAATGCTCCAGATTCCGCTTCTTTGTGTCGCTCTAAAAAAAACATGAGAACTAACTTGTTAAAATATTTCACAAAATTCGCGCATATTTTGAGTCAATAAACAATACAACAGAAACAGAAATTAACTCAATAGATTAAATTTTTCAGAGTTATAATTAATATTCTCGAAAAAGAAAACGAACAAAAATTGTCACACAGAGACGACCAATTAAAAAAAAGCACGGTAAAATCCTCTACGCACCTGACACACATCCAACGTAGGATCGAAAAGAGTAAACTCCGCATCGGCATTCCCGTTGATTGTCACATTGAAAATACGGCACTGTTTGCTGTTTAAGCGGATGATTTTCTGTTCTGCATTCAGTAATTTTATGTGAAGCTCTGTGTAAGCCACCAAACACTCCTTGGCAAAATCAATGTGCACAACGGATAGCACTTGGTGAATCCTGCAACAGTGCCGATACATTTAGCTACAAGTAGTGATTTAAGGATGAAAAAAATTTCAAGTGGCTCGTGAATCGTGATGTTTACAGTTCCAAAAGCACTAAGGCATCTAGCTTAACAACACAATCAATGCCACTGTACAATTTTGTAACTTACAAGCGAAAACCTTTACTCTTTTCAAGCGGCTTCTTAGATTTATCCTTGTCCATGATGTCTGAGTTCAGCAAGAAGACAACCTCCCGTCCCGCGCAAGACCAAAATATTCTTTTCGATCAGAAAAACTGGCTGAAGTGGTAGGATTCCCGATTTTATCATTGCAGGACAATATTGATGACATCCCAAAAAGCTGCTGGATGGTGCATCGTGGTAACTGTTAGCGGTAGTAATATAAATAAATTAACCATAAGTAACAGAAAGACATATTGATGGACTGGTGTTTAAATCAGTTTGATCACTTTGATGGTAAGTAAATGACGCTGTAAATCTATTCAAGTAAATTTATTATTTAACCATCAAAATTAAGAAATGAAAATTTTTTGGACAAAACGGAAACAAAATATTTATGTGCTTTTGGTGTTAACTGTTAAGAGCGTACCGCGTTGTAGCAAGAACCAAGTGGTGGCCACACGACTGGCGGAACGGCATGCAGAGTTGGGTGGGTGCACACAGGGGTGTAGCTGTATTACCGCACTCGCAATGCTCATTTTTTGGATGACAATAAATTCTTTTCTCTTTCCACTTGCAAGTTCTGACTTTTTCTTGAGCATTTTGGGTTGGCACCACTGTTCTCACAGATTAGTAAAAAGGATATTATTTACGTTCAGCAGAAGTGGCTGATTGCGATCGGACTCTGTAAGATTCTTGTACTGGCGAGAACTGAGAATGCCCCCAGCATCCTTAGGAGGTTTAGGTCCTCGTGTGGCTGGATACGTTATGCGTTCCACTGGTCTGACCAATCTTCCCGTGGCCAAGACTCCTCACTATACGCTGACAACTTTATATGGCAAAACCTTGCGTGTACTGGATAAGATGCCAAAGGATTCCGTCTATCGACTGTCGGCGGAAAAGATCGTCAAGGAACGTTTGGATGCCGTCAATAAGTATAAAGATTTGGTCCAACTAGAGCAGAGTATCAACGCTGGCCTGGTGGAAGAAGTCATTTTGCAAGCAGAGTTTGAATTACAATTAGCCAGAAATATGCTGGAGTACAAACCCTGGGAAGAATTGGTTAATAAACCGCCTGCGAACCAGTGGCAGTGGCCGTTCCGATCTATTGGATCAAGTATGAGTAGCTGATCGCAATAACGACACGATTTGCCATTTTCGTGTTGAATTGTTTGTTCAAAAATTGTGAAATAAAGTACATGTATGTATCCTTTTGTCACGAGAATCACTGTTGCGTCTATATCTGTAATCTGTTAGACATATTGTGAATTAAAGTGCTAATTCTTGATTTGTGGTGAGCCAGTAAATTATCCTTCCTTGCAATATATACGGTACTTAATTTTTGCAGACTGTTTATTAGGAAATAGTCATCCAAAACAGTGAAAGTGCAAAGTTGCAAAGTGCAAACGCTGACACTACTCCGGAATAGTACTCCAGAATTAAAACTTAACACAGTAATTGTACATGGTATAATTATTATCTAGTTGCAAGAATAAAGTGCTGTATTAAATAACAGATTTCCTAACCCTGTGGTCAGGGAAATACCTAAACAATTGGTCCCTTTTCTTAAGTAGCATACTTATTTAATTACCAGGGTAAGTAGCATTTGATCATATTTGTTTAGCGAAGCTCGCCTTTTACATATTGAGAAATAAAATTCCTTAATTATTATTGATGATTTGCTATAAGCAAGTGTAAATGGTATTGCTTGTACAAATTTAGAATAAATTTTTATAGTTTTTTTTAGCGGTTGTGATTATTTATTAACGGCTGGCATTAATTTGGTCAGAGCTGTTTGCTGTAAAACAAACTGGATCACAGGAAATCACAAAACACTTTCAAAAATTTTCTTGCTTGAGTCGATTCTGAATAGAATAGAGTAGAACTAAAGGACCGTCGATTGCGGACCGGAAGAGTTCAGTTATCAATCAACTTGTCATCCATGATTCCTCGGGATCAGGGAAAATCACTCGCAATCAATGTAATTATACAATGTGCATCGATACCCTCGCCGCAGCGTATGTAAGCCGAAGCACCCAGAACCAGAGAGCAGGAAACCTCCAGCGCCAAAAACGCTTGGAGCAGGCTTAGATGACCTCGAGGTGTATTCTCGTACCGGCTGCTTTCCAGAGTTACAGTCCTTGCCTCCTTGAATGGCGACGTCAAGCCTTGTACACGTGTATTGTATACCGTATCGGAGGCCGTCCGCTGGCCAATTACTTGCGTTCAGAAGGGCTTTTCGGTGCCGGTTGTCCATCCAGATTCGGAAAGGGACCGGTACTGTGCTATGCGTTATAGGACCACCGCCGGGCTCAGACAGCAGTACGTAGTGAAAATTTAATGTTCTATGATTATCAAATTTTAATTTTCGTTGTGATTGAATGTCTTGTGCTCTCTCACGCGCAGAGTATTACTGTCTCCCTCTCTTTCGAAATTCCGTTTTATTCCTCTATCGAGTTTTCACGCGTTTGATTTCGATTTCTGATCCCAAGCATTACGATGCCCCTAGATTTTGAACAAGATAAAAATGTTATGCCATTGTAATCTTATGGTAAGTAGGTAAACTAAACGCAGTTGGCAAACTGGGTAAGGTTTAAATTTCAATAATACTACGAATAGTGGAGTGAGGACACAGCAGAAATGCTATGCACAAAAGCTGGAATTATCCGGAGACAGATATCCCGCGATCGCCTTGGATGAATGCCGGATAACAGACTCGGATAACAGAATTAATCAATGAACTCACATACGGGAATTAATCGTGCGTAGGACGATAGAACTGAGCATTTGATGTCCGCGTTTGTATGTAGGTTTCTGCAGATGATATGGATAATTATTGTATACTTTACTGGTAGTGAAAATACATAAGGTAAACAGAGCATGCTACAGAGACAGTTTGATAAAAGATATCCAACTAATCTACGTGGGCGTTTTTGTCGTTCTTGTGGTGTCAAAAGGATGAAAAATGCTGCATAGCATATTCTGCATATTCTGGTAACTGTTAAACCCCCATGCATACACGCATCTAAATAGTTGCCGGTGGCATCCGATACCGTTACTTATTTCCAGACTGCGGCAGTGACGGAGCCACGAGGGACACCGCAGCGGAAATCCATGCACTCCTGCAATTAAGGAGAAACGCCAACGTGGCGACTTACAGGGTGTCCGCCTTTCCGGAATGCGTAGGGAAGAGTATAAAATGCGCTCTCTTCAGAGACGGAAATGTCAAGAACAACTTAGAGATACTTCATTCAAAGATTATAACAGATTCACAGTACTGTGCACAGTTACTACAATACAGAATTACGGACCGTTCAAAGGTGTACATATAACTGGGACTTCTTGACTCGACTCCAGCCTTTCTGGGAACGTTTTATCACGTACATACGGTGCCGGTGCGTGGGTATTAAATATGCAAGGTCACAGCTGTGTGTGCAGTGTATTGACAGCTGCTGTTCGGATGTTTTCCATATGTGCGGAACTCTTGCATCTGCAGAATCTCCTATACCAGTTTATCTTGGATTTTTCCAATCACTCTTTATTAAGACCTGCCTGACTGCCACGCCCGATTTTAGAAATTCCTATTCGATTTTCGATTTTGCATTGGTAATCTGCACCATTACGGATATATAGCTGTTAGATACTCCATGTGCGACACTTTATACTAAAGCTTCTTCAATCTTCATCGATTCTTACGCCGTCGCAGGTTATGACGTTGCTTTGAGTGGAACGGCAGTATGTTACATGCGCCTTAAGTCCTTAACTCTCCAATCTTCTGGAGGAGTAATTACCTACGCCGGTCAGACAGTCCCTCGACCGTAATCCCTTCCAGAACAAGTGCAGAACTTGGAATCGCCAAAGTATGTGGGCAAGACACGGATTATGTGGATTGCTGTTAAATACAACTACACTAAGTCTTGTCTCTCACGGGACCCTGACAGTTAGTACAGAATTCACTGTCTCTTACTCGTAGTACGTGTACGGTGTGTGTGTAATGTGCATACGGATCCGTCTGTACACAGTCGTACACTTGGTAGTCCCCTCTGGATCCGGAAGTGGTACATCCCACATCAGGCTGCGTGTGAGCAGTCTGTGCGTGCTGTGTTAAACAGCTGAATTTATGCAATAAAACTTCGATGTTGTTAAAAGACGTCAGTATATATTTATTTACCAGCAACGCCGCTTGCGATATGTATACAGAAGAAACGTGATGTTTGCGCTCATAATGCCGTATATTGTGCCGGCGAGGTGCGAAAGGTCACTTTCTTGAGTTGATCATCCGACAAAAAGTGCGGCCGTCGATAATGTACTGGGTGAACTATTTCTGTCATGACTCCCATCAAAGTGCAGTTTCGGACCGGTAGCGCCCGAGGTTGCAATGTTCTGGCATCACTGCGGAATGTCTTTCACGCGTTGATGTTCTATCTCGCAAACAAAATCTCTATGAATCAAAATGAGCATCCCGTGCATATCCGTGATATGAATCCGGAAGATCCGGCGGTATTAAATGGGAATATTCATAGCACTGAACAATCTCCGTTACCTGCTAATGGAACGACAGCTGCTGTCGCAACCGGCAGAGGAAACACGTGGCCTTTTCGAATTACGCTCCCACGATTACATCCTGCGGCTTGGAAGTTTTGGAAAGCACGGTATTATCTTTCTGTTTGTGCCTTCGCCTTGATCTTAGTGGTTATGACACTTGAGATGGCATTTGTGATTGTTGATTATGATAAAGCCAAGCAAACAACGCTGCTGGAAGCTGCGACACGGCAATACAGCCACTGCAGCAGAATGGAATTACTGGGATATTTATCGAATCTGGCTACTCACTGGGATGATGTAGTACAGACATCTAATCAAAATTCGTCTACTAACCAAACCCAAATTAATTCTAATCCTAATATTATCAGGTAAAGCGCGTTTATTTCCAAATGCGCAATAGATCTACTGCTTCCTGCTATAAACTAATACGAAGCAATAGCATAAAACGGCAGTAATTATAAAAAGCAAAACGTTATTTGTATTTGTTTTCATTTGTTGTTAACTGCCTAACTGAGAATACTGTAACGGTAATAAAAGCATGATAGTGTCCTAAAAAAATCATTCAGTTCCACTAATACATATGTGACAACCTTCTCTAAAAGTGCTAGTGTAGGCAATAAGACTGAATAACTTTAGCGAAATCACTCTTCCTTTTAGTACTAGTTCGCTCCTGACGAAAACATGCGGCTGCAGCAATATAAACAAACGAAGTTACGTAAAGAATACTACGGATATATTATATTCTGTGTTACACAAACTCTCCGTAAAAAATTGATAGTGACGTTTACAGGATAACATTAAATTTACTATTTATTCGAAGCTAATGCCACTTTTAAAGGTCAATAGACGTGTTCTCCTAAAACGGTCGTTAACTACCAAATTGCGAGTCATGTACTTTGTACCCTCAATTTACAACATCCAGCTGATGTAGGCATGTTTCCATAATTTAACAGCAAACATTTGCTCCAAATTTATGAAATACGGGATGTAGTGCTTGCTGATATGATTTATTCTCTTTGATCCCGATGCTGAATTACCAAGAAATACCAAATGAATTTGCTGTTATGGTGATATTGTAGACTTAGTGCCGGCAGCAGCAATTCACCATCTGCTGTTCCAGAAGATAAGCGAATACCGAAGAATCGGTCTCCCGGGATGACGTTGGAGGGCTGCTTATTGTCATCAGTTAGATCAATTCATACTTATGCTGAAATGTGTGGGACGTTTGATGTTACCGTATCTGCTCGTAATTTGTTTCCCATCCGGAAAAATGACAATAATACTATAAGTCAACCGCCTACAAATGCTGACCTTATGCGAGTGTGGAACTGCACTGCCATTTATTTGCGAATAGATTTTTCTGTTCAGAATTCGTCGCAGCTGGGTTATCTATCAACGGGAATGGATTATTATGGTGCGTGTCTCCCTAATTACCGAAACTGGTTCAAATCCTTCCATATCATGCTAGGTAAGTGCGAATGACAAACTTTGCGAAACTAAAGAAACTTTGCGAAATTACTGAAATCTTAAATAATAGCGCTTAGTATTTTCTGTTTTTTGTTTTTCCGGACTTGGAATTTACTTTTTTAATATCATGTGAAGTTTAACAGATGGTTTTATGAATGTTCTGTTTTCTAATGTAAACACTTCAGCACCCCTCATTTCTGTATTAACATCAGCAATATACGTTGTGACGCAATGCATAACGCAAAAAATCAAGGATATGAATAGTAACATACTAATACTAATTTGTGAATATGGAAGTCAGAAAGCACTTACATACTAATACTAATTTACATACTACATACATACTAATTTGTAGATACTAATTTGTGAATATGGAAGTCAGAAAGCACTTGGCGCACCCAAATAGTAATAATTGTGAATATTTCATTAGTACGAGTACGTTTACTTGTTCGAAGCGAAATGTTTATGCGTAAACTGGAACGGCTTTCCAATTCCTAAAACATCATTTCCTTGTTCTACGAACGTTCGCGAGTACCCAACTGAGTTTAGTTTGCACAAACAGGTCTGTAAACAAAAGACATCAAAACTATGTGTACAGAGATGTAGGAGAATTTTATATTATGGGATGCTTAACCTGCTGTTAATTATTATACATTGCTGTACTAGGTCAATCTGTGTATCAAATTAACAAGTATTGCTCCAAAACGGATAGCGAAACTCACAGGTTCTGTTTCAATTTGATGTTCTGTTACGTTGTTTTGTTAATCGTTAACTGTTGAAAAATCGATTTAATTATCTGCACTCTTATGTGATTCTCGATGTCTGGAGCGAGTTCTGACGCTTTGTATTTGTTCGATACCGCTACTAAAATGCTCGATTGAAATATTGTAATCTGCCGTAATTGAGCAAAGTATAATTAAATCTATCGGCATTTTAGATCATCTGCATACAATAATAAATGAGCGCGCTGAGCTGCTCTTGGCCGATGAGCCGATTTCTTCCCAGTCATCCTTCCAGTTTAATCTGGAAAGTTTTAGCCGGTTATCTGCTCTGCTTGTGGAGGTGCAGTCGCGTGAACAGAGTTTTCTGTCCTGTCAACTGGAACAACTGGAACGCGACAGACAATCGGCCAGTGGCAGTGTTGTGCGCATAATTGTGCTGCTGATTGCTCTTCTTATCCTACTTCCGGTGCTGTACTACTGGAACTGCAAACGCATCCAAGAAGAGACATCCAAATTAAAATTGCAACTCCAGGAGGCATACGATTCCAAACAGGAATTAACGGTTGATAAGAAACGCGCAGAAGATTTGCTTCTGCAACTCTATCCGGAGACGGTGGCGCGGAGTCTAATGAAAAATATTCCCATTGAGCCGGAAACATTTGATTCGGTTACTGTTTATTTTTCGGATATTGTCGGCTTCACTAAGATATCTGCGTCGTCAAGTCCGGCCGAGGTGATAGAATCTGAATTATAAATGCATAAATACGAGCGCTTGTGATACAGTATTAGTATAGCTGCATTTTTTGCAACAATATTTCAGTGTTAGCGTGCAAAAGTTCTGGTTCGATCATAAGCGGGATCACAAAGTTTCCCACCGAAGCTAGAATGCTTACTTGCAAATGTTTTAACCTAAATCTATAAAATGAGACACTCTGTGTCAGAAAACACGTGCTTATTCCCGATATAAACCAAGAGTTATATTTTACTCTTATGCTTTATTTATGTACTGACTTCGGTTGTTTTTTAGGTTGTGAATTTGTTGAATTCGCTGTATACAAAGTACGTATATCGTATAAACTATGCAACGAAATCAAGGGTTCGGCATATACCATTTTATCGATCTGCTGTAAACAACGCCGGAAGTTGCGTGCTAACCTTCTTCCATATTTATGCATCGTTAAAGCTGATGGCTTTACAGGTTTGACGATAGAATCGACATCTACGATGTTTACAAGGTGGAAACAATAGGTACATTCTATTTTAGCAGAAGCAAGCATGTTTGATTTATTGAAATTATGTTTAATTAGGTGACGCGTATATGTTAGTTTCGGGTCTTCCAAGGCGCAACGGTTTACGCCATGCTGGTAAGCGGAAGAATTGTTATAGCATACAAAGTGGCCATTAAACTGAACGCCGCTATAACTTATTTGACTCCACAGTCAATAATACAAAACGTTTATTACTTTAATAAAAGCTTCAATGGACAATCAATAATACACTCTGGGAAGTAATTGGATACGGCTGGCTAGATAAACAGTTTAAATATTTTTGGGAAGCGGGGTAGCGGAAATTCGCGAGGGAGTACTTCGGGTATGGTAATCACGAAAATTACTGTTTGCTAGTAGGGAAATCATCTTTTCATGGAGCAGCTTCAGTTTTATCGGCAGTTTCAAAGCGGATGCAAATTATGGCTGGCTCCTTTATTTTTTTGACAATAACCTTATGCGTCGACTATTGTAGCTTCTATGCATGTTTGTATCAGATCAAAATGAGGACAAATTGATACAATATACAGAGCGGAAACAATACATACTCTTATAAATGCAAAGTACTTACAATAATTGCTGTTTTCCGCTAGCGTACTATACCGTAGCACCATGGAAGGTTCTTCACTGAATCACTGGTACTATGACTATACTTTGTACTGCCTTTGCTCGTACTGCAGTTCTACTGTAAGTATTTTAGAAATAGTACTGATATAATATTTGCGAAGGCATCGCTCACCAATGGTCAGTAATATGGCTGGCTTTAAACATAGCGCTACATAACATATAGCCCATAACATATAGCCAACGTTTAACGATAATCCAACTGGTACTTACTACCGGCAATTTGTAAACTCATACACCTAACAAGTAAGAAACAGAATAGCATACCTATTTTTCTAGAATGTTTCATTTTAAAGGTAAGTTGCAGGTATGACATACATTTTATGTTGCGTGAAGTCTGGGAGAATCCATAAACTGCAGATTTTAAATTATGGGATGTGTAGCACAGTAGTGAACGGCCGAAGTGTTTACAACTTCTTTTTGTAGGAGAAATAGCTACATTGACTTTAGACCTTCAGCACCTTATTCGTGATTTCCAAATTCCACACATGCCAGGTCAACAGTTACTGCTACGGATAGGATTCCATTCCGGGACGGTTATGGCTGGGGTATTTAATGCTTGGATGATCTGTTACTCTTATGAAATATCTATTTCTGTTCTATGTATATGCATGAGTGTCATTAATAATAATATTCGTAAGTACTCGTATGGATATGACACTCGTAAAAGCAATCTAGGTATCTGTAATTGACGCAAGCGGTAAAACAACTTGTCCGAGGCTTACAAAATATGTGACCTCCGCTAAGTATAATATTTATCGATATTTTGCGTAGGTGGTTGGGTTAAAAATGCCGAGGTATTGTTTGTTTGGTGATGCCGTTAATACAGCCAGCCGAATGGAATCTACCGGGAAAGGTATTATTACTCATAAATATTTAATTGTGCTTAAGTACTGTAGAAGTACTCATATAGTAGTGTATTATATAGATATTACATACCCCCCGCTGAAAACATCAGTTCATTGCTGTTAATTTGCGATAACACAATTAAATAAAATATAACGGTGCTGAAATATGTGCTGACTGCTAGTTGTGTAGTTTCATATTTGTATTATGATTACTGTAATTCTTTTCCATTGACGTAAATTAATTATAACGCTGCCAAAAGTTTTTACATGACACAGTAGTATGTCCAGCATTTTACCTAAACTATATGACATACATACCTTGCCGATAATTATCCCAGACTGCTCCAGTATCTTTAGTCATGTTTTAAATTAACCGGTTGAAATTTTTTCAGAACTGAAGGTTCATTTAAGCGAAGCTTCAAAAGCGTTGTTGGACGAATTAGGCGGTTATGATGTAGAGTACAGAGGAGAAACGGAAGTAAAGGTACAGTATTAACGACACACTTTATTTTCGATACTACAGTACAGTACATTACAAAGTGCGTGGTTTAGATGTTTTTTTTAAGTTTTTCCCTGTAATTGGCGTTCGGTGTTCCAACAGTACGTAACAGTACTAATTTTTCTACTACTTATCAGTTGTAAATATGCTTTGTCATTGCAGGGTAAAGACTTCATGAAAACGTATTGGCTGATTGGGAAAGAAGGTTTCCAGTTCAGAATCGAAAAAGAAGTCTGTGTTTACATACCAAAAAAGAAAAAGGCCGCCGCTTCAGCAGTCGCTGCCGTTCCGGTGGATCCGCCTCAATGATTTATTTAGTTGCACGCTGACTTCCTTTCAGACGGACTGGTCTTGTACGCAACCGCCAAAAAATGCTTTATTTTTTCGGCGTTAGCTTAGTATTTGCGTATACTTCCAAATCAAGACCGCACTGATTCAGTAGCATCCCGATATTTTTAAAGGTGCCAAATCTTCCCTTGTGTGATCTTGCAAAGCCTATGCAGATGTTTTACGTGATTAAAAACCGCGCTGTTGATTTTGAGATTTTCCATTGAGTAGCGTCGACGTCGATGTTAATGTAGGCGCATTGTATACAAAAATAAAAAATGTAATGTGTTCGTATAAGAATAAATTAATTTATGAGTGAAGCTGACCGTGAGTTACGCGGGACATGCACCACGTTTAGTTTCGTAATATAAATACTCATACAACGAGTACTAACATAATAGTGTAGACTTACGGCAAGAACATGTACCATAGAGTTGTAACATTTAGTGCCACTTCGACACATCGATCGCAAAAACGTTTTTCGGAAAATGATTAAAATGAACGTTTCCGAAAAAACGAATAGATACTGAGTTTTCATTCTTACTGCAAAAATTCCATTTTATTCTTTCTGCGTTGTGTTACTTATTATTCACATCCGGTAAGGAACTGCGGGATAAGCGAAAGCCGATAAGACCAATTCAAGAACATATATGCACAGAAGTCACAAACCTAAACAACGTTACGTAACACAGTGATTGCTCTGTTTACTCCTGTCCACACCTTAAGGAATAGCGAAGTGGGGCCATTCGTGCAGCAGTCAACGTGTCATGTACACAACAAGGTCAACATGTCAGAAAATAATTCAAAGTATGCAACACTATGGCAAAATTTTGTTCCGCCTGCTTATAATTGACGTGATAGAGTTTCAGGATGCTTTGCATAAGCAAAACCTGTTAAAAGTATCCTACCCGTGACATGCATGTGGCAGTTTCAAAACTGGAAGTATCCTTACACCAGACCCTCAAGTGCCGTGCCACGCTCATGATGTAATATGCAATATTCATTCTACGGAATCGTGATTAGTTTCAATTTTCAAGCGTCATGGATAAAATATTCTCCACAAATTTACATAATCTTTTAATTTTCGTGTTGTATGGCGTGATTTATACAGCCGGACAAAATCTTAAACCCGGCTACTGTCCCACCGCGGATGTGCCGAACGGCGCACGCCAGTGCAATCAGAACGATTACGATTGTCCCGGTTCGCAGAAATGCTGTCAAGTGGGCTCTACCACTTTCTCGTACTGCGCCGATGCCGTGTCAAATAACCTTTGGGGCAACAAGCCCGGCACGTGTCCCTCATCGAGCAGTCTGTCTTGGTCATGGAACAGCCAGACCTGTATTTCGGATAGCCAATGTCCAGCGGCGCAGAAATGCTGCCTTAGTGCATATGGATATTCCTACTGTTCGGCCGTCGCGACATCACTGACCGACAATAAACCGGGAACGTGTCCGTCGGTGTCTCTGAGCACCGGAACCTGTGTTATTGAGTGCGCAAGCGATGCTGGCTGTTATGGATCCACCAAGTGCTGTAGCAATGGATGCGGACGGGTGTGCTTGAATCCGGCGGATGCGACAACAGGTGGCAGCAAACAGGGTATCTGTCCACCGTTGACCTCGTCATCCACTACGGGCGGCACGACACTGCAATGCTATCGGGATACGGACTGTTTTGGCAATCTGAAATGCTGCAGAAACCTGTATACTAATGTCTGCCTTCTCCCGTATGGAACATCCATAATAACTGGTTAAGTAGTAAAATTTTTGCGTTCGTAATTGCAGATTGATCCCGACATTATTAATTTTGTTCACATAAACATAACTATAACGCAAATCAAAAATGTTGATTGCGTAGAAGACATGCTTGTTTAAAGTTGTTTTACGCGCTCCACATGCTCCAGAAAATGCTTGTTTTATTTTGCAGTCCTTTGTATTAAGCTGATATATATTATAATATTCGATGCATCACTGCCAGACTAAGCTGACTGCCTCCAAAAAAACAAACAAAATTCTGTAGTCGAGGTACTGCACAAAAAAGAATGGAAAGTTACTGTTGCAAATTCTTTGGACTTCAATTTTATTTTACTCTGCTTCCTTTACTTTATCTTTTTTATAGAACATAGGAGCCACCTGAAAATAAGTGTTTGCTCGAATAAAATTAACATCCTAGAAGCATTTTGAACGGGCACGAACTCAGATTGGGCTATCCCGATCAGACCTGAAACCTCCTATTGGTACAACAACACACGTACACTAGCTGTTCTTTATTTTGATGCGGCACTTCAAGCTGCGTCAAATATTGTACAATCAGAAAGCCGATGTCTGCAGTTTACAGTTACAGACAATACAGCGATAAAATAACGAATGTTTAAAGCATTCAAAACAAAACACTGTTTATCACGATGCTTTCCCAACGCACGACCACAGACTCCCATTCTTTAATGTGAGTCTGACGGGGATAACACACTGACATTTGGTCAACCAATTTCAAATGCTATCATGGTTTTGCTGGGGCAATCCATCGTCCACAATAACCGGCTTCCGACTCAGTAAATACACAGCCAACCACTGCCGCGGTTTCGGAGGACGTATTTTAACTATCTGCTGCAGCGCCATGTACAATAACGGACTGACTGTAGCGTTCAGTAAATCCACACCATCCAAAAGTCGCAAATCTTCAGCATTTAACGTTGTTTGTCCCACATCCAAATCAATATTATTCTGATCTTCAAAAATGCGTCTCCGCAGTCGCCTGGCAAAGTGTTCTGCAGGTGTGCTCTTCTCTGCAGGCTTTTCATCCATTTTTACACTTAACATCAAACAGATGCAAACAAACAAAAAGTGACAAAAGAAACCAATAAAAATCTTATCACCAAGCAATGCGTAAATAAAACTGATGATAGCTGGAGTAGCATTATAAAGTTGTGGACGGTAAAATGCTGATGCAATGAGAAAGGACATGCTAACTTCAATATAAATTAACATTTGAAATCAAAAATCTGTTAACAACTGCAAAAAAGATAGTAAAGGCTCTATCACAATACAGTCGGAAGACCGGGACGGCTAAAACCGTAGACGTTACAATAAATAAAAAAGAAAAATACTGGTTTCACGAAAGGAACCGGGAAGACACTAAATTTCTAAAGGCCCATTTCGAAGACATGTTAACCGCTGAACTGGAAAGAAACTTCCTGAAAAAAATGTGCGCTTCTTCCTTGGATATAATTTCGGATAGACTCCGTAACCTCCGCTTCACTCCAATAATTTTCCATATCAAAGCCTCTTTATTACGAGTATTTGAACGAACACTGCGCAGAACTGCCAAATTTTTCCGCGAGATTCGCCGCAGCTTAATTGCCTGAGCGCGATTGGCGTTCCAGCATTTACTATCACATTTGTCGGACACAAAACCGCGCCAAACCGGTGTGTCCACGTGGAGCAAAATAAATTTGAGCAGAGTCAATGGAGTAATCAAAACATCACGCGGGAAGGTAGCAATATTGTCCCTTTTCCTAACACAACATATAGTTACAATATACTCTGCTAGAATCCAAGCCCGCGAGATGCCTTATGCATTTTGCTGTGTGTATTGTACAAGTGTTCCGGTACAGTAACCTTAACGCCAGTTAATGCATAATAGACCATTCACAGGAATAAGCGACTATCACTGAGTTTTTAAACGAATACCTTTTTCCGGAGAAAATCTGAAGAGTAGGGACTTCAATAATGCGGTACTCCCAAGGAAGTTCATTCTTTTGAATATTGATACTGCAACCAGTACCCGAGTTTTACGTTTAGAAGTTCTTTAAGCCAGAAGCACTGATTCTCTTCCTTACCGAGCAAATTTAATCCCTGTGATGCCAAAAAACTTTGCTGCCACATTGAAGTACACCGACATTACGGCCTTGCAAAACGTGCACCAAGACGCGTAATATAACATCACTATATCCTACCAAAACATCGACATCGCGCTGTTAAAACAAAAAAGAAACCAAAAAAAAGTGCGCTTTACCTCTTCCAAATCGAAAATGTTCGAAAAATTTCCGCCAGATATCTCTTCGATTTTCACGGAATATTCATCGTTTCCAGGAGGGCTCCTTCCGATTTGTTCATCAGCCGACCGCCGATGGCTTTCCAGCGTATTTCTCGTATAATTATAGATAAAGTCAACTGCGACAAGAATCAGCACAATAAACTTTTTTAAGTTGTCTGCGGCGTAATAAACATAAGCATTATTCAAAAAGACTTGAAAGTGTACCAAAATGCACTCTAATAAAAAGACACTCACACGGACAGTCAAATAAACTTACCCAAAAGCGGCCAAGTTAACGGAACATCCCCAGGAAATATATACTTTTCCGAAGACTGAAACAAATCAGTGTTTACCAAATGACAAAAGAACCAACATTCTACTATTCTTGGGAGTACACAAGATTTACGCTCATGCAACATAATATTGTAACAACAGTACTGTATAACTGCGCAAAATAAGAATGAAATTAATATGTGCCCAAGCGTACTTCGTACCGGCTTATCCACAATGACAAATCGGGAATGATTTTGTCCTAATGCAAGTCCTAAATTATCCAGGAATGCGGGATAAGTCATTGAGTCGATGGCAATAACGTTCAACGATCGATTTGTTCTACATCCCAGACCATGAATCAAAGACAATTTCGGAAGGTCAGTCGGGTGAAACGAGTGTCTAACTGTATTATCACAGCATTGTTTAAGATTCCGACAGGCATCCATTTGCATCAGTGGCACATTAAGGTCGAATTCGGGTTGGAGTTGCTGGGAGTAGCAGCAAGCTGAATACTTTCTCCACCTGAGCACACCACTCGAGCATTTATGCCTACCATCACAATACACCGGCGGCATAGATTTTGCATTTTGAAAGCTATCTTTGGAGCCATCCATGCTCCGCATCCAACAAACATCTTCATTGAAATCCGATGAATTGCCGATGCACATGCAGTTTGAACGCCGCAAACGCCCACGCCGGACACCGATTTCAGCAAATTTTGTAGAAAGATTATCGCACCGTAGGCCCTCTGATCGACAGCGATTTTCTGATGTAGTTGAATCTGGCTTCAGGAGCTCGAGCAGGCCTTCCATAACCGTCTTTTTCTCACAATCATGGTATATGTGAGAAATTCTGCGAACCTACAAATGAAAACATGTTAAGGAAAACGAACAAAGGCAAGCAGAAAATACTCATAATCTCCGTGCAGTTTATCAAACCATAGGCACAAAAATACAATCTGGGATATTGTGAGCCAGCAGCGAAGTGCAACTCCGGAACTACATGTTGACAAAATTATCAAAGACATTTACAGAATAGTTTACACTGTGCCCTAAAATAAAAGACCATCTAAAAAGGAAAAACTTAATTTACGTCATGCTACGCATTCGTCAAAAAGGAAAATAAAAAATTCAACCGCAGGTCATACATCTATTAAAAATTGAATAGCGAACAGAAAATAACATACTCACGATCGCAGTAATAGACTTTGCAGACATTAACAAAAATGCTCGCAGATTTTGTAAATAACTTACCGTCTCGTACAACGGGTTACAGTGACGGCGCGCGTCGTAGGGCATGAAAGCAACAAGTGTTGCATTCCGTGTAACTTCCGCCAGGGCTGTCGATCGATGGAACATGGGAAATAGCCAACGAATGGGCTGGAAAAAGATTTCATTCGACATCTACGCAATGGTTTCATAGCAGAAAAGAAATCGCCCAATAAGCGGCGTTAATCGAAGGCCATTAAACAATTTATTTACCTTTTTCAGGATAAACGGCAATATTGCCTCTTCGATTGTGGTTTCAGGTAACAAATGAAAGTTTCGGATTGCCTAAAAGCATGCAATGAAATTATGAAAATGACACATTTGTTCGTCCAGTCAGCAGGTATGCTGAAATTCAAGAATTCCAAAAACAAAATATTTTACATCACAATATACAAACCTTTTCCACATTGCTGGTGCGGATAATGCTAATAATATTGGTCTCAGTAAATCCAAGATGCTGAAAAAGCTGAGTATTCGTGATCACCGCAAACTTTACATCGTGACGTGGATCTGCAATCAAAAATCGATTAGATGTCACCCAGTGTTGCTGCAGTGGGAAACATGGTCACCATGGCGCATTATGAGAAGAGAAGTATTCCACAGGACATCAAGGCCCCTTGGTTCTGTAAGGTCTAAACTAGCAACAACTGCAAGCTAAAACAAATCCCAAGTTCACAATTATAGATGACGGGACAATGGACTTATTCCCTTACATCGTTCTCGTCGACGAACGCAAAGAAATCGTTTCTCGAATCGATCCGAACGAATGGTCGTACCAAGCGCTCAAGAAAAAGACCAAAATGATCCGCAGAAGGATATCCGCGATATGGGATAAACATGTTCCGACGTCGCCGGATAAACGCTCCCACGAGTGGAAAATGGTCAGGACGCCGCTTAGCTGCACACTGGCTTCCGTGTATTGCGCAGTTTACAGCCACAAATGACGCCTGCAATTTACCAATTACGCAGTGAACAAAGCAAAAATCCATATATGCATGATTGCATGTAGGTATTGCATCTTTCGCATGAGACACGTTAACAGCAATTCCGAAAAGCAGAATTCGGCACGGGCAACACTAAAGTTCACTGCTTCATAAGAAAAGTCATATTAAAGCACAGTTCAAAGAATATAGAATTTTACACAATGTAAAAACATACGCAAATGCCAAGTGTCATCTCGGAAAGCGAAACTGTGATTATTTACAAGGCAATTTGTTAAATCCCGATTAAATCCATTTTTACGAAGTAATTTTTACGACAGTAATAATTAATCTTAAAACATATTTCTCATAAAAGTAAACACTTGCCTGGTCCTTAAAAGAACGAGCGGCATCTTCGAATACTGGTCGCATTTCCGCGGAAGCAATGCACCACGTCGCATAAAAGAATGTGACGGTAATATCGTTTGCCTGGATATTCTGTGCCAACCCAACGAGTTCGCCGCGGTAATAATCACGCACCGCGGCGGATTTGCTAAAGAAACGCTCCGGGCTCTTGCCAGGAACGGTAAGCAAGGGTTCCCTAACCAGAAATTGTTTTACAAAGTGTGCAATATCTACCATAAATAAAACAAATGTCTTTCAAATCTTACTCATGTGTTGCGGAGTGTCGAAATGTATTTAGCAACATCCACAGCAGGCTGACAAGAAGACACATTCCTGTGTCTCTCATGATAGGGTGTTTGAAAATTTTGCGCTTTGCCAGTAACACGAAGCCGTATATTCCACGTGGTAACCATATCATTATGGATGGATCATTCTGCGATCGGACCTTATCGTTTATGGACAGTGGTCGAATCACTAGTAACAGTACGAAGAGGCAACACAAGAAAACCGGACGACAGCTGGAAAATCCAACGGAGCAACGACGCTGAATAACATATGTGCCACATGCAACAACATCAGCATTCAACGAGCTTCTAAACTACATAGGCTCTGCATTCACAGGTACGATAAAAACAATGGAGGAGAACTTTGCTAACAGAAACGAGAAAGGTAGATTCAACACACAAAAGTCAAAGTTTTTCGCGAAAATTTTGAAAAGAGAATCTTTCGGAATTGTCTGCGTGTCGAAAATGTGAAGGCTACAGAGTACGGACATATGGCGTGGCGGCAGCTACCTGAGTGATAAATCAAAACATTGATTGGACAATGGTCGTTTCCGTGTATTCTGCACTTTCGCTTCATATCGTCAGCTGGCACTCTGCCTGGCACGTAGAGAGAGTGCTTGAAGCAGTTTGAATTTATAGAGCGAACACTTCCAAAGCCCAAAGGTTCTCCACGCCGCTTATCAAATTGTGAATCTTCCGATAACACGGCGTAGAATATTTGACCTGGATGTTAAACTCTGTACGGGCCGGCCCATTCGCTAATGCAACTTGCATATATGATATAACCACGCATCCCTCTTGATCATCCATCGCGTAGTAGCTCTGTGGTTCGCCTGTTAGTGCAGTTTTTTAACAAACCTTGCGGTTCCAGAATGGTTATTCAGACACAACCGGCAAGCTCCACGCGTACATCGGATGTCGTCGTTGTGATTATTGGGTCCGGAGGCCGTGAGACGGCTCTTGCATGGAAATTGTCCAAGGAATCAGCGGTGAAGCAGATTCATGTTTTTCCGGGCAATGGATATACCAGTTCCGGAGCCATTCAGAAAACGGTGAAGTTAGAGGGCAAACTTGACTTCGATCCGCAGGAACCTAGTGGGTTTCCAGCCTTCGCGAAATGGTGTGAAGAGAGCTGTGTCGATCTTGTTGTGATTGGTCCTGAAGCGCCGTTAGCGGCTGGACTGGTGGATTATCTGGACGCGAGAGGTATTGCTTGTTTTGGACCATCAAAACTAGCGTCGGAATTGGAGTGGAATAAGGCTTTTGCCAAAGAATTCTTCGATAAATACGGCATTCCTACAGCGCGTTGGAAAACTTTCACAACATCTTCGGAAGCCATTGATTTCATTCAACGGTGAGGCTTTGGGTTGTTATTCACTGTACCGTATGACAGTTATCATTAATTCATTAATTAGTAATTATTAAACATTAAGCATAGCACCTAGTCTGTTGTACAAAATCCCTACCTGTTCTACAAAATTTAAAACAAAGAATCCATGGATTGTTCGGTGTAACGGTTTTTGCGTACATTTTGTGATTTTGTTTATGTAAATAAGATTATACACATGCTGCTACAGCGTCAAATTGCGAAGTTGTGTTCGGTAATATTACTGATAATTATTCGTTTGAGCTACGTAATTTACGTTTGTTAAAATTTTTGCAATGCGAATGCTTAATAAGTTTTGGACAACAACCAGAACGGCAGTTAATTGTGAACGATAGTATCACAGTCAAAATGTATTTTTAAAATGTGCAGCCGCAATTTGAGATGTAATTCATAATATAGATATTATATGGTCGACGCTGCGTTTTGAAGTTCGCTATGTAAGGTCAAGACGAGTGTTTTTGCTAACCTGCGGACGTACTGAACTTGAGAACGAAATACTCGTAAGATAGAATATTTATGTATCATGTACGTAAAGTAACTGCGAATCTGATTTCGTAAATCATAATTATTCTGACTTCAATTTATGACTTTTTAGGTAATCTTAATCACCTAAAAAGTCATAAATTGTTTTGTATTGCCAGAGCTCCATTTGAAGCGTTGGTCGTTAAGGCAGCTGGTCTCGCTGCTGGTAAAGGGGTTATCGTAGCCGAAAACCGGGATGAAGCGTGCCAGGCTGTTAAATTTATTTTGGATGAGAAGCAATTTGCAGATGCTGGAGCAACAGTTGTCATCGAGGAACGTCTATTTGGCCCAGAAGTTTCTGTTATGTGCTTCACTGACGGGTATACTGTTGTACCAATGCCGGCTGTGCAAGATGCTAAACGGCTACGGGAAGGTGATGCTGGTCCGAATACTGGTGGAATGGGAGCGTATGCTCCTGTGCACGAAAGTATTTTGTCGAAGGAGCAGTACGAAGAAATCGTCAGCTATGTGGAGGCTACAGTAAAAGGTCTACAGCAGGAAGGACGGCGTTATAAAGGCACTTTATATGCCGGTATTATGTTGACCAAAGATGGGCCGCGTTTTTTGGAATACAACTGCAGGTTCGGTGATCCGGAAACTGAGGTAAACACTGCATTACTATTAGTAATAATAAAGGTTATTAGTAAAAGGAATTAGTGTCACGCTGTTACTTCTTCATAATATTGTAATTTGTGCAGTTTACTTCGTTAATCTTGTTGTATCCCGTAGACATTCTGCTCATTTACAATCCTGAAATCGTCAGTAAAGATGAAATGAACTTCTTGCAGATGTTCATAATTTCGAAATGAAATTATATACCATAAGTAAATCTGTATGAAACAGATCTGGAATTGTCGTTATTTTATCTTTTAGTATTGTTGACTTTCTTTATAATGTCGTCGTCCATTATCCATTTATATGGTTGTAGAATTCAGTTGTGTACAGTAATTAATGGACTTTGCTGGCAGATAGTGTTAATACATTTCACCGTTGTTGTGTAGGTTGTTATGCCTCTTCTCACATCCGATTTATTTGAAATTTTAAGAAGCTGTACCAACGGAACATTGTCCGAAGCGACGGTGAAATTTGACCTGAATAAATCGGCAGTATGTATTGTCGCAGCTAGTGCAAACTATCCAGAAGGGTCATCAGTGAAGCCAGTTATCAGCGTACAAAAAGGTGGGGTGTACTGGAATCGTGCCGATGATATTTTTTAAATGTTGTATTTGTGGTACTTTTTGACAAGGCCTAGTATGTTAAAATGTTTGCTAAATAGAAATCCAAGACTGTCAGTATGATGACAGCACTCTGGTTTTTCCGGCTGGAGTATCGAAGACTGGAAAAGATTACCTGGCCACTGGAGGACGTGTGCTAATGGTGGTTGGTTTGGGAAGTCGGCTAAGCGAAGCTTCGATATTAGCACAACGTTTTCTAGCCAGCAATAATTTTGATGGAATGCAGTTCCGAAAAGACATTGGTTACCAAAGTATTTCAAAGTAATAACTGTTTATTAATTTGTGGTTTTCGAATGTATATGCGCAGTTGCTCAAAGGAGATTTTCGTTTGCTCATCATTTCATTTGATTGTAGAGAATTTGGTGATAGCACAGCTCTGACTTACAAAAAATGTTCAGTGGATATTGACGAGGGCGATCGGTTGGTTGAGGAGTACATCGTTCCTTTAGCTCGAGGCACACACCGAACCGGCCTGTACGAAGGTGTTGGTGGATTTGGCGGTTTGTTCGACCTTCAGAAACTGAATTACAAAGAGCCGGTATTGGTTTCTGGAACTGATGGCGTCGGGACAAAGATTTTGGTACAATTCTCTGCTCCTAACGTTGCTAAAAGCAGACATTTTATTTACAAATAAAATTTCGATTTTTTGCACATTATAGATCGCAGAAGACTTAAATCAACACGAGCAGATTGGAATCGACCTTGTAGCGATGTCCGTAAACGACATCCTTACGCACAATGCCGAGCCATTATTTTTCCTAGACTATTTTGCCACTGGAAAGCTGAAAGCCGATGACGCAGGATTGGTAATAAAAGGCATCGCGGAAGGCTGCAAGCAAGCAAATTGTGCTTTGATCGGCAAGTTGAAATAATATTTTGGTTTGCAGAACTCTTGCTTCTCTGAAAAGGTTTGAACTTAATTTTGCGCGAATCACAGGAGGCGAAACCGCTGAAATGCCCGGCATGTATCCTGGCGGTCGTTACGACCTGGCTGGCTTTGCTGTTGGGATTGTCGAAAAACAGCAGATTCTGCCCAAAATTTCAGACGTCAAAGAAGGAGATGTGGTCATCGGGATCGCTTCCTCGGGCATTCACAGCAATGGCTATAGCCTAGTACGAAAAGTTGTGGAACAATCTGGGATTTCGTTCGATCAGTCGGCACCTTTCAATCCGCAACAAAAATTAAGTACGAATACAAAATTTATCGCCTTCTTGACCACAACTGCTTATCTTCTGAGTCAGACGATACGTATACAGTTTATAATAGACTAACAACAAATTGCCTAATTACTTTTTGCACAGGCACGGAACTTCTTGCCCCAACAAAAATCTATGTCTCTTGCCTTTTACCGCTGCTGCGCTCAGACTATCTTAAAGAGATTCGCGGTATGGCGCACATCACTGGAGGTGGACTCACTGAGAATATTCCACGCATATTACCTGAGCATTTGGACGCTGTATTGGACTGCCAGCAGTGGTCGATTCCACCAGTATTTTCCTGGTTGTCTTCCGAAGGAAAAGTGGTAGCGGAAGAAATGGCTCGCACATTCAATTTGGGTATCGGCATGGTCTTGATTGTCTCCAAGTCTTCGGCTGATAGCATTGTGGATGCCATCCGATATCATAAAGAAACCGCCATGAAGATTGGAACTATCGTGAAAGGCGAGAAAAAAGTTCAGATTACACAACTACGGAGCGCTTTAATATCTAGTTGGATGACGTGGGCAGCGATCAAGAATTGGAACCCGATTTGCGTAAAGAAGAAACGAATTGGGATTTTGATATCCGGCACTGGTAGCAATATGGAAGCTTTAGCGGAATTTTCACGATTGCCGGCTAATCGAAGTGTTGTCGAAGTTGTGGTTGTAATTAGCAACGTTCCGAGTGCTGAAGGCATCGAAAAGGCACGCCGTAGAGGAATTCCAGTTGAAGTAAGAGTGGTAGATGTGGAATACTACATAGTTAATACTTAATATTATGTCGAACTATGAAGTGTTGTTTTGATAACTTCTCCTGCATTCCTAATGGCATTTGGTTTCAGAGTAATCACTATGTTAAATTACAGGTAATCAGCCATAAGCCATTTTCTCGGGAAGAATACGACCGCAAAATCAATCAAATGCTCGAAAGTTATAATGTGGAGTTGGTTTGCTTGGCGGGTTACATGCGAATTTGTTCGGGTATGACAATCTCTATTGGTCAAGTCGTTTACCGGTCGATGATACAACATGTTCTAGATGTGTCTTATGTTTATTGTTCTAACCATAAGTCCCGCTTTTTTGCACTTTAGCTGTTTTTGTCGAGAAATGGCGTGGACGGTGCATCAACACACATCCTGCTCTGTTGCCCGCATTCAAAGGGAAAGACGCTGTGCAGATGGCGCTCGATGAGAGAGTTCGAGTTTCCGGATGTACTGTGCATTTTGTGGAGGTATGTGGTTTGTTATCATAAATATAGTATGCAGTACTTCAAGTTGGTTTCCTTGGCTGGGAGATGATATCTATCCAGACTATCCTTGCAGCTTTATGTTTTATGTAGGAAAAAGTTGATGCGGGGGCCATTGTTTTGCAAGGATCTGTGAACGTTTATCCTGAGGATACACACGACTCTCTGCAATCACGAATCAAGGACGTCGAGCATAAGATATTTCCGAAAGCCATGGAAGCTGTGGCCCGACAAGATGTTGCGCGAAATGACTTAGGAGAGGTCATTTGGAAAGACCCAGAGAGCTATAGGAAATATTGCATGTAAATTTCTTATCAGCGCTGGCTGACCTTTGCTATCCGGCTTGAAGTTACAACCAGGCGATTGAAAATTGAAACTATACGAGTACTACAAATTTTCTTCCAAATTTGATTCGTATTTTTTAAAAGTATTCGTCAGTTTGGGATAGTAACGAACTAACAATTATTTTGCATTTTATTGTCTTTTGTTTGTTTTCTCTCGCATTAGATTTTGCCATTGTGGTTTGCACTGGGTAGTGTAGAATAAACTGGGCACAATGCAAGAGCGTTTCGCAGTTGAGTCCAGACATGCGCTATATTTCCTTATTTACAAAAACCTCCTCCAAATTTCCAAAAAGGCCAAAAATCCACAAAAAATTGAAACCGCCCTCGGGAGCTATGCAGGTGTGCTTCATACTTATCGAAGGCACTCTCTCTCATTGGATTCGTTTTTCATTTTGGGACTTATTTTGCAGTAAAATATAATAGTAAATAATTAAATATGCGCCAGACGTATTTATCATTTACTGTGAAAGATTTGTGTAAACTAACATAAAAAGGAATCCAGAGAACTGTTCTATTTTGTTCAACAAAAGCGGAACATGATAACCAGTTAACTGTTAGTGTTGTGCCTGTGTTCACTGGGTGAGTGCTTTCACTGCTTTGTACGAGAGCCATGTTGTTATATAACGCCTGCAACCTTTTAACTTTTGAACACTCGTAGTCGTAGAGGTTCGGGTACTTTTGCGAATCGGATTCTTCGTTCCGAAAATGTTGTGAGCGTGTTTGAAAAATTTTTTTGATGTTGATACGTAACTACTTTTGATGATTCATGGAATTATTCGCGTGTAAAGTGCGAAAAATTTACTATACTGGCAGATATGAGTAATTTAATAATGAGAATCTGAAATTTCAAATAATTTGATTCCCTGTAGCGTTGCCGAGTTACGTTTGGCATTTTGAAAAAGACCAACTGAGAGACTGCGTATTGCGACCAGTTAGAATTGCTTACTAATATTGTTATCCGAAACTCGAGACTTTGTTTTCACAAATTTTGGATTTTTGACAATTTTGCAGCACTAACACGGCTTTAACTGAAACGTTCTGCACTGGTTATTACGCTAAATCAAGGAAAAACTTTGCAGTACTGATAACGTTGTGCGCTGTTCGCTTAGCTGTAAACACGTGGTTTGATTGGATCTAATCTATCTGTGATTCTGTTGGTTGCTTGCAGTTGTTACAGCTTTTACGCATTCCTATTCTTGCGCCGCAATCTCTTCCGTGTTCCAGAGCTAAAAACTCACTTCTGTGGATTGAGGATTGCTTTTATTAAGTGATTCGTCAGAGATCACTTACGGTGAATTTCGATTTATCTCAAACAGGTGGGTATTAAAATGTGAGCTGTGCTGACACACTACTGTACCGAATAAAGCACACAGTACATTAACATACTGTAAGGGCCTTAGCCTTTTGGCATGGCTATGTCTGACGTTCTGTGTATGAGATTGCTCGCAAGCGCAGCACAGTATCTTTAACTTTTAGTAGGATGCACGAGATTGAGTTTATGGCTTATATTTAATTTCAGGGTATCGAACGATACACAGCTGGAATGGCTTGTGCGACTTTGGTTCCACAGACCGGGAAGCGTCGTATTGACTGCGTGGATGGACCCGATCATGCTGGAAGCTCTTTGCAGTGCAAGCGATTCCATGGGACCGAGCTCAATCTTTCACCCGCTGATTTCGATTCCCCATCACGCTATGGGCGGGCTTCTCCAAACCAGAACCGGGAAGCAGGTACTGTGTTTCATGATTTTATCATAAACTGTTGTTCCTGTTATCCATGTTCACTGAAATTTCACTTCCACACGGTATATCGCACGACGCGTTACTAATCCATAATTATCAGCAAACGTTTTTGCGTTTAGACATTAGTCAAAAAATGCAGTTTTGGTCAGACGACTCAGACCCAGTTGCTATATCATTAACTAACTGTGCTGTATCAGTTTAAAGTAAGTACCGTAATCATCAAGAGGTTTTTGATGTTGACTTGTTTTACCAGGACGTGGACCTTCCAGACCGCTGCTTCTTAAGCGCAGTTCCCCGTCTCCACCATTGGCAACATTTTTTTCAGAGCTGAACCTCAAAACCAAAACCGAGGTAGGACGCGATTCCATTCAGCACTGTGCCGATGCCCGCCAGTCCAGCGATGCAGCTGATGTCCGATATACTGCTCAGCAAGTGATCGACATCTGCAAACAGCAAGCGACACAGCTAAACCTGCGATTGCAGCAGGAATATGAGGCCACTCTGCAGGATAAGCTGGCCGAACAGTACCAGTCTTTCGTTCAATTTGCTCAGGACCAGTTGGGCACACCTATGCAAGGTTCCCCACCGGAAATGGAGTGCTCTTACATTGGATGAGAAAATCGCGGCGGTTAAGTACGAATATTATTTTGATGTAAAAATGATGTACTTAGTTAAAAAAAATTAATTTGGCGGATTGCGTTTGTTTTGATGCTGTGGTGTTTGTTTTACCCAAAAAATGTTGCCAATGATGTTGTTCTGGCGCTTCCGGTTGCTCTGCGAACCCACTGGATAGTTTCTTTATTTTAGCAGTTTGTGTATTCTGATCAAAGCCTCACGGGTTGAGAACACTCATTTATTAAAATTTATTTAAAAAAATCCATCCGTTTTCACTTTAAAGGAAAATTTTGAACCGTCGAATTATCGCAAAACCGCAAAAACGCAAAAACCCGTCGACCGCAAAAACGTTTGCTGATAATTATGGAATTTAACATTCGCCGAAGCTACTGGCTAGAAGCCTACAACAACTGTGCAAAAGACACATAGTTAAAAGCGTTAAAAGTCAGGTTGCATTCTGTAAAACAACAAGTACGGTACTCTGTGCAACTGGGATCTGCGCATATAATCGAAGCTAACAACACTAATTAAGGAATCATTGGCTTCAATCCAACCCGCTTGACTCGATGGATGAAACAGGCAGGCTGTGTAGTGGCCGTTTTCTGTTCCTTCGCCATAGTGAAAAACAACCGCTGACAACTTATACACAGATTTCGACGGCTGGAAATGACCAGAAGCAAACCAGCGCTCCTGTAGCCGCAGTACCGGCTCGAAATCCATCGGTTTCTGCAGTTTCGCCAAACCCCCATTGGAAGAAAATTCAAAATACTTCAAATGCAAGATCAGAATAGCGGGAAGCTGCTCGAACTGATATCGCCGAGTAGCTGGCACTGTCCGTCCCTTACTATCCTGAAAGCCATGAAGATTTTCCTGCTGCATAAAACGTTCCAGTGCACCGAAAACGGTTCTCACTCTTGGATCCTAAAATCACATCAACTACTATTTAATGGCCGTCATTGGGTGCAAAATATGACGCATTTATTTACGGAATAATAAAATGAATTCAGCAACAATGAAAAGGAAGGTGAAAAGATCAAACAAATCACATAAGTATTTGTTGGTAGTGTATCACATAAGTATTTGTTGGCAGGAGCTGGCAAAAGTAAATCAACAGCCGAACAAATTAACCATAAATGATAAATGGTACGACACAATACGAGCATTTCAAAATGTGGATTGCGCTAATTCAAAGACAGAGAATTTCCTCAATTGCAATTCCATATTTTGTATAAACGCAAAAAACTAGCAAAAAATAAAACATTTAAAAAAAAGAGTTGTTAAAAACTTCACCCATAGGACCATACATATAAACAAAAAGCATAAATGTAACGCAGAAGTAGCTGATTTTCGGAGAAGATATTTAAGCAAACTCCATACCTGAATAGGAAGATCCAGCATGAAAAACGGTTCAACGCTCCCAAAATCTTTAGCACCAGGCTGCTTTCTGATAGACCTCAGTTTACCACAAAATAATCGAGACAGTGGAGAATCCGTGAAATCAGCGAATTCTCGCACAATACTTTTCTTTTGGTTTGATCCAACATTTGTCCATTCATCCGAACCATTTTCTGCAGTATACCTATCGGGACCGGATACTTTCTCCACGGAGGCGACACCTTTAACCATCTCCTCATGTATTAGCAATAATACGTGGTTCAGAAATTCCTGTGCGTCTTCCTGATTTCCCTTGCTCAGCATCTGCTGCTGCGATGCTGTTCCATGTCGTTCCAGCGTTTCGTACACAAAACTCGGATCCAGCGGCGGCTCTTCACGGCCAAGCTGGGTTTTCCGGGCAAGATTACTCGGAATTTTGTTAAACTCTTTTACTAATTGAGCAAAACACGCAGTAACCGGCGGAAGAAAGGCATACAGTCGATCAAAATCCTCGGTATCCACATCCAGAGCTTCCATTAAGCGAAAGAACGGCGGACAAAATACCAGCGTCTGGAGAACGGCGTTGGCGTAACAGGCGTTACCACGGTTGATCATACCCCGTGGGGTCAAGAAAATGGTGCGGTGGTTGATTTCCACATTAATCAGATTCTTTCCAACAACCAATTCACCCAGATTGATCAGTTTATCGCGTTCCCTCTGCTGCTTGCCTTCTTCGGAGGTAATAACATATGGTGTTACGGCAGGACGCTTCGCTGTAGCGGATGACTGCCCCGACGTCTGCACAGACTGTGCAGAGGGTTTCGCTTCGTCCGGGCCGCGAACCAAAGCGGCCCAGGACTTCTTCGGTGCAGGAACAACCGCGGTAGGTGGACTAGTAACCGTATCCGCGGAAGAACCAGATTCTTCAAGGGCAGCTACGGCCTCACTGATAAGGATTTCTGATCCTGCAGTATCGGCCATGACAAAATGGTATCATCAACAACAACAAATAAACAACATTCTGGTAATTCCGAATTACACAGCAATCACTAAATGAAAATTCACTGAAATAAATGGGCAAGACGTATTTTACAGAACTACATGTAACAACTAACAAGTACCAAGGCTTTTGCACGCTGCAAGTGCAAGTACATAACAACATTCTCGTAAAATAATATTTCTTAAAAGTTAAAACTAAAAGAAATCCCCCCTCCCCCTGGGGTGACAGTCAGATGTTCAGTGTTCGTCAATGACGACATTCAGGAGCCACTGGGCAGTTGGAAACTGGAAGAACGATTCAGCAACAATTTTTCTCTTCGAAACTGGAAATGTAATCGCAGAACTGCAGACCTATGGTTTTTGTGAAATGTTACAACTTGCATCCTAGCGTTACAACTTGCATCCTTTTTCAACAAACCAGCTTTTCGATTATCGTAATTTGATTTTGTATAGGAGCTTCAAATGGATTTATCTTCCCCGTCAGATGTACCGCTGCGCGCTCGGATAAGAGAAGAACGAGCTTCTTCGTGTCAGCCTGTACGTTTTGCACTTGAATTAACTTTGGAGAAGTTTTCTGCATCCATCGAAACAAAGGATCGATCCACTAGGATTTTGTCCTCCGGAATCACCATGGCGGAATTGGGACTGACGGATTTGCAAGGACGCTGGCGCCTGGATGTCAGGCCTTGCTGGTTCAGCCCTGAAGATCCCGAAAATGTATATTTCGGATGTTATGTAAATTTTGTTGGGCAGGATGCTGGATGCTCCCAATGCAAAAGCTTTGCAACTGATACAGTCCATGCTACATATCAGCTCAGGTGAATTTACAGTTGTTTGTAGAAATAGCTATACCAGTACTAACCCAGTCGTGTATACAAATGCATACCTGTTTAGGGTTTAACATCCGTTATAGGTGCGTGTCGGGGGATATTGTGTATGTATATCATATGTATATTAAACATATACAGTATATGTAATAATTGTAATCACTATTATCGATGATACAATTGTAGTGGTAAATCATCTTCTCTCTTGTGCTTTGTAGCATTTCAACAGGGAAAATTGCTCCCCAGGTCCTCAAAGCCTCTGGCTGGCATAAAACACTCGAGTTTTCTGACCGTAATCCAACGTGGGGAAAATCTAAGTTATGTTCGCACGAATTGCTATTCGGATCGCCTAATGGCAGACGGGGAAAACTGAAAGACGACACCATAACTGTTAAGGCTGATGTTGTATTCAATTACTGGCAGAGGAACATCGAAAAGGTTTATCTGTCTAATAACGGTGGGATTGACTCGGTGCGTGCGAATGTTTCCGATCATCAGAAATTCGAGAATGCAATGAAACGTCAACTTGAACATTTCCGAAATTCCTCCGCCCAGAAGGGTACGCATGACTTCTGCCTCGAATCTAGTGATGGACAACAGTTTTACACCGACATGTGTATTCTCATGGCTCATTCAGTGGTCTTCGAAGCCATGCTCTCCCACGATTGTGTAGAGAAGACTTCAAAATATTGCCGACTGACTGACATAGATGGGGAGACTGTGAAGATCCTGCTGGAGTACATGTACGGCTGCGAAACCGGCAAAATCAGTCCAGCAAATGCGGAAAAGGTGTGAGCATGCAGGTGTCTCTGGTTTGTGATCATCGCTTGACTCTTGCAGTCTCTTGATTTTGTTGCAGGTATTAGCCGCTGCAGATAAATATGATATGAAGGAGTTACGGTCATTCTGTGAAGGTGTTCTAACAGCTAACATATCGTCCACGAACGCCGCTCACTGTCTGGCACTGTCTTGCCAAAGAGGATTAGACGGCTTGCAGCGAGCTGTTCTGAAGTTCATAAACGTCGGCAATATGGTAGCAGTGTTTTCAAACGATGCCATTATGGAGATTACAAAATATGATCCAGAGATGTTGCAGAATATCCTGCAATCAAGCATCGGTAACGCGAATCAGTAATCGAGATCTTGAATTTTCTTTTGATTACCGTTTAATAGTATCAGAACTTCGAACAGTATTACAATTGTAATAAGATACTTGCAAGATAAAGATAAATAAGATACTTGCAAGTATCTTATTTATGACCTGCATCTTATTCATAATCCTGCTATGCTGCGGTCATGCAGTGTCCGCAAAAAGCGAGTGCACTTTCCAAGTTATTTATTTTTGTTATCTGCTTGTTGAGTAACTGTTGGATTGTTTTTCGCGGTCAGTATGATGCCGCGAAAGATATTTAGCGATCTTGTTCGTCTTTAGTAATTGCTCTTGTCGGTTTCTGTCATCGCATTTTATAATTTTGATTACTTGGCAAAATTATACCAATCTGATATTTTCATCATTGTTAAATTATCGAAAATGATAACACATGGCAGACATTCGAAATGCGATCGGACGCATAAATTTGCAGCTTTTTTTGCATTGCGAAAATTCTGCACACGTAAAACCATTCATCAGTAATCTCCGTTGCCGTATAGCGCCGAAACGGACAAGTAAAACGTGCTCTTCTCATTTCAAATCGTGCCACGAAATCCAGACAGCAGATTCAAACCGGTATTCCTTTATACTCGTACATTCAAGGACGAAAGATGACTAAAAAGTCAAAAGTGTTGAAAATTTTAAAACAGAAAGCATGAAAAAGATAACAAAGACGAAATCAGACAAAAATTCTACGTGCACATGCTTTAACCCTGAGAACTGCCGCGTGTGTAAAATACAAACAACACAAACAGCGGCGTACTCCAAATTGTACATAGGGAATATTAGAAAGACAAAAAGCTAACCAAAACGCAACAAGCTGCTAAACGCAAATATGCTCATAACGCTGCACTAAACGTTAGAGCTCTGTAGTGATTACTCGACGAAATCGACTCGGCTCAGATTTCAATGTGGAAGTTATCGGCAGGGCGGACTTAATCTCGGACGGTGTCCAGCCACTACGGTGGTTATTGGGCGGTAAAGTTGTAGAGCCGGAAGATGCACCGGAACCAGATCGACTCACTCCGTTCGAGCCATTAAGAGACGGATCCTGAACAGAAAACCACTACCATGAATAAAATTCTGGGAAGATAGTGAGGCACATCAACGTTTCCGTCTTCTACTGCTCAGCACAAGAAAATCAGCAGGTACAATTACCAACCAGAAATTTATTGTATGAGGTTAATCTAACAGCTTAAAAATAAACCGTTAAAAAAAATCCCAATGGTATTTTAAAAGTTACTATACTAGCAATAAATTAACAAAAGATCTAATCAAAGTTAACAGACTACGAGTACGAACTTTTTGATTCGGCCTACGCATTTATTGCTATACTGAACCATCGAATATTGTAAGCGATTCCCATAATGCCGATAACTTACATGCATCTGTACTGAATGCTCTTCGCAAGCATCTTCTTTAGGCTCACTAACATTATCAAGCAAAGCAGCACTATCACTGCAGCACATAATTATATCGTATTCATCAAACAAATTAACAAGCGTCGGCTCAGAATAATCCTCTGTGGAGTTAACAACAGACTCCGCGTTTTCCGTGCCCAGCAATATATCAGTTTCCGTATCCGACCGCACAGGAGCTTTCGCGACTTCTTCTTCATGCTCTTCTTCACATGAAGCCAACAACAACGGAACAGTATCGCAATCAGTTGTATCCGGAACCAGAACACTTTGAGATTCGATGCAGCGCGCGGTTACCTAACACACAAGCCGCAAGCATGCCAGCAAAGCGAGCAGAGCAGAAAAGCGCAAAACTAGCACAATTATCGCAGTACTTAACAAAGAAAATTCAAAATATTTGGAATGCGTCAAAAGAAAAAAGAAGAATACAACAAAAATGCAAGCGGTATAATATAGCACTGTACATACCGCTGACAGGGCACTCGAGGTAGGCGACGGCGACGCTGATGGGCTGCTGCGAGGTGAAGCGCGGCCTGAATCACTCGACGGATGTCGAGATGATCCATTATTGGGCTTCAAGGACGGCGTTAGATTGTGTGTATCCGAGCTGAAAATGACGCTTTTATACGCTCTCAAACAACCGCAACGAAGGTGACTCCAAAAAGAAAGCTAAGTAGGTGCGGTACATAGTCGGAGTCATAATCAATAGTTTATGCAATCAGCGCTCATTATAAATCATAATCACCACATAAGGTCACTATTTTCTTTCACCGATACCTTTTCAATATGCTGACTAGTTCTTTCGGGGGATCCTTTGGTTTTATCATATCAGGAGTCAATTTGAATCTGGCAAGAGACAAAATAAGGGATTTACAAAATAAGTCTACCGTTGTACTTATACGCTGTGACCGACCCCATGATTTCTCTTGGAGGAGGATTACGATCGTGTGACGTTGAGAATGTACTCAGATTGACGATCGGTATGTCCACAACCGCTAATGTTGTTGTCCGCTCCGATGGCGCTTCATTGAACGCTGGTGCACGCTTAATTTCTTCCGATTTCAAATTTACTGTGTCGGTTTTCGACTGATCGGGCCAACTCGGACTGGTCAAAAGAGTTTGTGATCTTGCCGGTCGCAACGAGGCAGTCGGTGTAGTCAAATTGCTACCACTAAAATCTACGCGAAATAAATGGTCAAAGAAATTTCAAAGGAATTTCCAAGGCCGCAGAACTGTCGCAAAGACCTTCATTATGGCGTGCATGTTCCAGATACTAAAATAAAATTCTCCCTACCTATGGCTCTATTTATTTGCAACAGCGGTTTTTCTTCTCTGAGAGCGATTTCCGTCAACGATGGACTTCTTTTGGTGTCAAGAGTACTGCTTCGTGGAGGAACCGGAGGTGGACTGTCACCTACATGTAAAATCGTGGCGGCGATCACTTCACATGACGAACTAGACATAGAAGCTTGACGGGGCGGTGCCGGAAGTGTTGCACTCTTCGGTGGTAGCGCTGGCGGGGGAGGACTGCCAAATAGGTCAAACTGGTTATGCAATTCTCCAGCCGTCCTACTTTCAAAATCATTAAGTAGTGTTGCATGCAAAGATACCACCAAAAACAATATCGATTAAAAGTTGATTACGCATAAATACTAACTGGTCGCAAACAACTCAGAAGGGCATTAAGACGCAAAACTACACTGTTTTTCAGAAAACACTCTCCAACCATACTTCGCTGATACAGTTCAGTAGTGCCCATATTCTGTAGGAAGGACAATACCTGAACATTTTTGATGACACTACCCCAACAGTTCCAGCGGCAGGTTCGGACGCCGCGACCGGTGGCTTAGTAACCGCTGGAGTGATGATCACCGGGTTAGATGATGTGGGAATCGGCGGTCGCCGTATTGAAGACCGCCGTGAATAGCGCTGACTGGGTCGTCTCTCAAACTGGACAGTGCGACGAGCACGATTCTCGTGCGTGGCTTGGATCTCAGTCTTACCGCTGTAGCGGAAACGTGATCCCATGCGAAAAAAGTTCTGCCGTGCGCTGGGAGCCTGAGGGGCGCCACTTAAGCGGAAAAACGTGTGATGCTCCACTGCGCACTTCCATAGATGCTTGGCGGCCTTTTTGTTGCGCAGCCGAAAAACGAAGGTATGCTCAATCTGCTGCGTGCCTTGATCATCATCTTCCCACACGACCAATGTCAGCTTCTTCTTGTTAAACAGCAAGCGTGTAATCTTAGGCCTGAAAGTGCAGTAACCAACTAAAGATTCACAGCCAGATAAATTCAGCGAACCTATTCTGAGTTCATCGCTTTAAACACTTTTTACAACAAAATTTTTCAAAACCGTTTCACCAAATTGCTAACACACTCACGCAAGTAACAAATATAAGGCGAAAGCACAAACATATAAATATATCAACATTATCCAAAATGCCACCAACCAAAAAAAATGAAGGAGGTCACTAAAAAATCATACAACTTCGAACGTCGAAAATACGCCTTATACAAGCCCGCACGGTCATGTTAACATTTTAGATCTCTATTAGATACATCTAGCAGCCGTATGACTTACCAGAAGAACATTCCAATTTTAGCGGACCCTTCGAGGACCAATATTCCGGCTGGCGTCAATCCAAGCATATACTCATTGCCATCCTTGCCGTATACAATATGGATATCCACACCGTACATTTCTAGCCACTTAACCTTTTTCAGATAGCTTAACTCAACTTGAGCCGGAGTTTGACCCCTGCGCAATAAAACAACGAACGTTCACCACAAATATTACACCATTGACAACATCACAACAGCTATCCTTCTCTATAAGCCGCTGCTACAACAAAAATCGTTTGGCCAGAATTATTAGCGATGATTTATGGCATGTTATGCGGCAACTCATTTGGTAAGCGCACTTAAGCATCGTTAATGCTATTCTTATGTACCCAATAGGCCGAGCAGCACTAGACGCTCTCATAATACGAAATACGAATACAACAAGCAGTTTCAATCCTTATCAAAATTAACTGCAAATCGTTATGCCCTTTATCATAAACATACATGTCACTCAAAAATCGTTTTCTCTTTTCTCCGCAACTTACGCAAGTTTTTTGTAAGCTTCTACAATGGCAGTCTCCATTTCTTCGGTCTGCTCTTCTTCTGGTAAAAATCGGAATTCGGAGATAAATTCTGTTGTATGCACATCAGGATCGTAGTCACCGAGTTCCGCTGCCATCAGAAAGAAACGGAAAAATAAATAAATCACCAACACAGAGCATTTGGTAATTTAATCTCAACAATCGGGTCATCGGATGTGTCAATCCGCTGCGGATGGACACTCTCTTACATTGCAGAATATAAGCAGCCAGCTCAACAGCAGCATCGAAGGGACACGGTAGCCGACCGGTTTGTATGTCTTGTTTCAGTTGCAAAAAGAATTGGTACCTGTGAAAGAGCGAAAGAAATGAAAAGCTGTCATTTGGCAGACAAAAAACTGGTTTACATGGGCTCACCGCAAAAAAATGTCGCCTGCAACAGTAATAACCCCAAAGAAACGAACATTACTGTACACCTAGACAGATATTTCACCTGGTTAGTTCTTCGTGAAGAGTCTGTGGTTCAGAAGAATAGAACTTGACACGGAGTCTTAAAGTGTAGGGTGGACCAACTGGAAACAAACAAAAACCACAAAATCAGATGCAGTGTGAGAAGTGTGATACGAAACGGTTAAAGCCGTTTGATCCTTTGAATGTGTGGACTTACTTTTCATTTGTTTCTTTACAGTTTTTGTCGGATCCAGCCAATGCTGTAAAAACAGATGTTGAAGCTTCGTGAAACAGAATGTAAGAGGGGAATAATGGATTATTATAAAGAAAAGGTGTGTAGCCAAAACCAGCATCTCGCTGCGTATTCGTAAAAATTGTCTACAATCTATCTATGACCATTATCCAGTTACTAACTAGAAATCTAAAACAATAGCACAAACATCAAACAATCGAATAATAACTGGAAAAAAAGCAGAGAGAGAATGTTTACCACAAACGGCCTCAAAACATTTATGGACAACCATAAACACTTTCATCAGAAAGGTCGAAAGGTAAAAGACAGGGAAAAAAATTAATAAACATCTTAACAGTTAGAAGAGAACATTACCCGATAAAAATTACAAAAAATTCTGTGTTAAAGCTGATCAACACTTTTGCACCCAAAATAATTTCACCCAGAAATTAAAGCGCAGAAAGAAATAAATCTTCACTGCAATACCAAAGGTATTTTTCAAGCGTAAACAAAGTCTGACGAGCACGCAAGCAAACTATCAGCCGAATAAGGTAGAAAGTCTAATCTAGCGGTAAATTTACTTTCACTTGGTGCGTGTCCGAATACTGCAGCCCGAAATAATCCTTTTCCAACAAGTCCAATGAATAAAATACTTGCTCGTACAACTCCTGAGCAGGGGCTTTTTTCTGAAACGAAACATTTAGTCAGACATAACAGAATTATTTCAACATTCTGCCAATAAAAATTAAAGTGCACATAAACGCAAAATCGGAATTTCGATATAATCTGTAAGGAAAGAAACTCAATAACTTAAACTCTTAATCATTTTCATAAGCTCAATAAAAATAGATTCGTTCGTATCCCTGCGTACAATTCTATGCTTGCTGTGCACAATACTTCACAGAAATAGCTTTGTTTCATACAGCAGTCGACAACGAAAATTAGCAAACAGACCCAGAATTATTTTTCAGGTTTACCAGTGTTTTGCAGAAGCACTTTTTTACGATTCCACACAGTACGTAGTAATATCGTAACAAATACAGCATGGAGCGTTAGCAGAAGGCGAATCCTCGTTAAAACTAAAATTTAAATGGTGGAAAATTAAACTGTATATACGAGAACAACGATCAGCAGCTAGCAAAAGGTTTGCTGTATTGTGGCTGACATTGAACTTTTTTTCCCTTAGGTGCTCATCTGCATAACTAGGTTCTAACTTCGGAAGTTTTCGTAAGTCGTAACAACAAATTTGCAGCTAAGATGTTTAGTAAACTTGTCAACACTGTGCTCAAGCACAGTAATTATTATCAGATCAAAATAAACCGCTTGTCCTACGTCAAACAAGAACAACAATGGAACGGACGGTCATAGTTAACATTATTAATGATGTGAACAGCACACCTAGAAACATTGCGTCAATTCATTAATAATAAATCGTTCACTGGTCCGACAAATGGATCGTCCGCTTAAAGAATCATATCTCGCTAATTTCTGTTAACGTGGCAATTATGCTCGACCGATCAACAACAACTTCCAACAAGAGTTGTACGGAACACCAGGTGGCATCGTCGCGTGCCGCAGCATTCTGGTCAACACCTTCTTCCATAGTGCATAACTGCATAACGAATTACTTGACCGCGCCCATCCGCTATGAAACATATGCTCGTTTCCAGTGTTTCATCTCCTTATCGCTTTTATACCATGGCTTGGCAGTTGGTGCAGGCACTGTTCATCTGCGATAATTATTATTATGCGCTGACTTGTGAATGAAGACAGAAACGGAACCACAATAATTCCTACCATGGCTTACGACAGCCGTACTGCACATTCGAAATTATGCCGCCAAAGCATCCGCGCAACTTGAAAATTAATACCGAACCGAAGTACTCTTTATCGCTACTGATATTCCTTATCGAAGCTATGTTGTGGTGGTACGGCATGTCGTAACAAAAATGAGCACATACAGAGATTAAGCGCCGTACATTCTTCCGTGAGTACGTGTCCACAAATGTAAACAAGCTTGTTTTATAATTATTGATTCCGATTACCTATTTGACAAAAATTCAAATTATGTCTGCGGTAGCTTCACGGTAAACAACAGCACATCTACCCAGTAGAAGAGGAGCGAAGTTCCAGTGGACAAGTCTTCAGAGTGTCATAGTTTCGCGCTGAAATGTATGGTTCTGAGTTGGTCATTGTCGGCAAAAGAATGTAACTGATAAACATTCCCAGTTCAAATCCAAACTGTAAAATCTGTATTTCCTTCATTGATCACTAGTTATTAATTTCTATCCCTGCCGCTTTATTTTTATTATCTCACCACAAATATTATAGCACAGCGCTTTCTTTATTGATGCGAAACCACAAAGGCATTAAATAGAACATTAATGCACAATGGCTTTAATTTCACTTAACAGTCTACAAACATTCAAAAGGCTAAATTTAGATTTGATTTCAGTCTTTAAAAGCGGATATTGTATAGTAGGTGTCAGAAGTTTATTCTCATTCACCATACGCAAAACGCAAGCAGACTGTCACTTCCGGTATGCAGATTCTGCTGTCACAGGCAATAAGCAGATCACACAATCATTACTATAACCCATATTGTCCACAGCTAAACGACACTGAATAAAACTTAAAAAATAGTTTACGGAAACTGTTGCGCAAGAAAAATACCGCACCAGAGAACTTATTACAAAAGTGCATATGCTATTGACCAGACGTACGTGCAAACGGTATACATGCAAAGTTACGACTACAACTAGGTATGCTGAAATACCTTTAATACCGGTAAACCATCAAACTATTTCGTGATGCTGAAAATTAAAGTTTCCGCTTTCGCCCCAGACGATGTATGCGTAACTAAGAAATAGCATTACTATTTATACTGTAAACTATTTTCCCAAATTTTATTTAAATTTTTCTATGTACGTACATAATGCATATGACACAGTTCTTTTCCAGCAAATTCAAAATCATTTTCCCGCAAATGACGCTTTACATATGGAAATGTCTAATTAATGCTAATCAATAGCTTATCTGCTTTTACTTTTAAACTACTAATTGCACGAGTAATACGGTTTGCTTGTACATGTTACACTACTACAAATTCTGCGAGTACAGTACACTATGCAGAATATTTAATATGAAATATTTTATACGAGTAAAGATCCCAAAAAATGCAATCAAAACAGCTCAACTGTGTAGTGAAACACTTTAGGCATGGAGTTGCCTATGTGTAGTCAGACAAATCAAAGCCCGGCGTCGGACATTATCACAATAATATGACAAGTAATATCGAGAAAAGAGAAAAATGACCGCCCTGCCAGCGACCTGTAGAACGGAAGAAAATACTCGAGCCTCTTTAAAAATCTCTAACCAGACAGACAAAAAATGCGCAAACTTGTCCTCGCCAGCATAACTTGAAGTGAATTATCACAAGAGCTATTTCTACCGTTAACACTAATTTCAAACCATCCAGGCAGGCATAATTTTTTAACATACGATAATAAACTCAAACTCACAGAAAAAATACTTCTAATATTAAAACAGTCCGCGCTGAGAACGAAAACATTTTTATGCGCAATATAACCCACCCATATTTGTTTAAAATTCGTTCCAAATGATACCACCTTGGCCCAACACAACAGATTTGAAATCGCAGCGTTGACCATATGGGTCACAGATTGTCTACACAATGCACACATATTGTACATTATTGTCTTTCCGGTTCCGTTCCTAAACAGTTTATCGGCCAAGTCTCGATAGAGAAAATACAAATGCGTTCGAGTTGTGGTTTAAACATAACAGCATGTAAACATCGCTATATAACCACTATTGACTTATAATTTTCAAGCTTTACAACGTTCTATAAAATGGCCAAATAGGAAAATTGAAGGTTTCGCTCATGTTGTTCAAGCGCGTCATAACCGTTCGGTGTGTTTTTTAATAGATAAGCAACCGATTATTAATTATCAATGGTGAAATTAAGTACGCTTATGTGCGCGATAGCAGTGCTGATCAGTAGATCGTCAACCCACACAAGTCATGTAAAAAATGACTAATTACACATGTGAGTTTAATAAAATCAGTCATTTCTACACAAAACGGACGGGAGCACTTTTCACTGCTTCGCAATCAGATTTCATTCATTTTAACAAAATTGTTTAGAAAAGCTTCTTGCAAAATAAATTGTTCACATACTGCTTGCAATTTTAATGCATTATAGTTTATTATACGCAATAAACAGGTCAAAGTGATTTTATTAATTTCGTTAAATCAGAACTCAATACATAAGCAAAAACTGTTAATTAAAAATTTAAATGTAGCCTGATAGATAGTTATCACATCCATTACAAAAAGCTCAGGTGAAATTGTCTACAAAAGGTTCAGGGAATTCCTTCACAACGGCAAACAAATTCCAAATAATCTGACAATAAAACTAGGGAAATTCCAAATTTCAAAAATCTGAAGTAAATCCAGAATATTAATAGCTATATTAGTTACTTTTTGGATTACAGTACTCACGATTAGGAAATTAACAATATTTTGACTTACAGGTACAAAAACGGTCATATCCGTATTATCCAGCAACTGGATCTTGCATTCAACAGTCCCTTTGGGAGGCTGGACAATATCACCATTTTCCAGTCGGATTCCTTTAGGCGTACGGCGCCGACTTAGGAAGCGTAATATTCCCATTGTTCGGCTTCAGAATATCCACGATTCCCAACGTTTCGCCCAGTTAAATTAAAATTAACCCATATAGCGTGCGGATTATTGAAACATGAAATTTTAGTCCCCTGGCATACTGCGATGTTCAATATGCATCGGATGCTGCTTGTAGAGCTCTCACAAGAACCGCTGAAAATTTGAAATGAGGAAACAGAAAAGTGTGTACACTATTCGATAGGAAATAGCGCACATAAACACTCGGCTTGGCTGCTGCTACCTGAGATCTGGGGTTAATGCTTTTCTAAGCGACAAACGTGTTTCTGATATGTTAAACAGCATTTACGCATTGTACTAACGCTCTCTGATTGGTCAAGGCTGAATCAACAAGGCAGCCCTTCGGCAGAATCGTTCATTGTTTGCCTATGGTCAAGAAAAGCTAGCAGAGAGGTCTGCATCTGCGGTGTGCTCAATCCATGGCTCAATCGGCATAACACAACGAATGGTCAAGTTCCGGTGATCGGGAATTCATTATGTAGTATACTTACTTTACTAGCTGCAACAGCCAATATCCACTTTATCTGACAATACTTCCCACATCCAAATCATTTTACTGTACTGCAGGACTTCGATAATAAAAAAATAAAAAAATATGGACTTGATTGATTGCGTGAATTATTAGCAACAAATCAAATATCTTATTAGTTTTAAGGGGTGAATATTTAATAGCGCAATGCAATGACCCAGCGTAACAGGAAGGTTTGTGGAGTGACATTAGACTCTTCGGAAACAATCGCCGCTCTTTTTTTGCAATGCGGTGGTATACAAAATAATACTATTCTAGTACTGTACAATGAATACAATCATTAAATAACTTTTACAATACAAGTGATATTGTTTTCGCCACTGGCTAGCGGCTACTGAACAGATACAGCAATCAATTAATAATTTATGGGAATAAAAAAAACCGAAATACTATTTTTTAGCTTGGAGTATGTCTGCCAGTGTTCAGTTACGTCTACAACTGAACTGCCGGCGTGTACTCGAAGCCGGTAAGATTAATAACATTAGCTGATCAACTTGTTTGATTTCAAATCTTACATACGACCAACAAGATGCTTACACCCTTTAGCTTTGTTCAAGGTCGACATTTGAATCCGCTGCACTTAATTGGTACTAAAAATGCATGCAGGACAAAATGGAATTTACGGTATTGACACTGTCAAAGTGGCCGGTGTATATTCTACAGATTATGCAAATATTGTTTTTTGAGTGCTTATTATGATTGAGGCATCTATGTTTAGCACGTGGACACTGGACACAGTCACCTACTCTGTATTAGCAGCTGCGAGTCGACAAGGTTTTGATCCTATAATTTACCTCAACAACCGCAGCGCAGTCAATCGATTATTCGCAAATCGCCTTAGTTTTTACTATATTAATATGTTGCAAGCATGAAAGTTTTAAAAAGAGCGTATGCGTACCGCCGGCAGCGGTATTTGGAAGTATCAAAAACTATATTTTACTCGTATTAGATCAGTCATGCATCAGTACTAGTGGGGTGCCACTTCCACAAATTTCGCCATGTTCTCAAAAAAATTTCTGTTGCAAAGTTTGCTCTAGTTTTAGGAGTCGCATGATGTGTCTGAAATTTGAATGGATCAGTTTTGCGATTTCCTATATTTTACCGAAGGACTTCTCCGTACATAACATTACGGTAGATGACACATAATTAATATACTCCATAAGGCCAAATTGGCAGCTGGCTGCATAATAAATTAGTACGAGAAACTTTGCCACGATAATAGTAAATAGTATTTACTAAATACCAACCCTTAATAAGCGTTATTATTTATAACCGATCTGGTTGCTTTCGAATTCTGTTAAATTAATTAAATTTATTCATGGAGATCGGAAATGGAAGAACAAAAAAAAGCGAATCCCCAACCATTTGTTATGCTCGACGCTGTGCTGCGCAGTAGCGCTACTGTGCATTTTGCATGTGTGGTATGGAATATGGATATGGCTGGCCATATGCATGTTGCCAAGTCTAAAGTTGGAAACCTGAGAGGTGCGTGATGCGTGCCATTCATAAATCAATCGATGCCTGTTTGTTTATTTGGGTTCAGAATAAATTACACTGGATTTTGGTTTTGCGTACTAATCAACGTGGAAATGCATTCGAAAGTTTGAATTTATAAGGTAGAAATTATTGCAGTCATAAATTTCTGAGTGGTAAGACAGAACCGATATGCTCGTGTTTGAGGCAGTGCGCATTGTTCAAAGGAATCCTTGTCCTCTGGCTTTGAATTTTCATATCTGGTTTTCCTGTTAATTTAATGTGCATAGTGCGGTAAAACCTGACTAGCGGAACTGTAGAAGGTACATGATTACAATGGATCAGAATGACAGCCGAAGTAGTTCCCAAGCGGAACACGAGGAAGCACACCAGCTACAAAGCCAGCTGTCTACTGGACTGGAATCTGCTTTTGTTGGCGGAGACAGCAGTCCATCCAGCGATGCTGCTCGTACTGTACGATGAACTGTTTACTGAGATTCTTCTGTTTTTTATGGTTTTGATTGAGGTATGGGTTTTAGCTCAACATTCCCGAGGTCTTCTTCTGCTGTTTCATCTGCTACGGTGTCGTCAAAAAGCCACGCTTGTGCCCAAAATGCTCACATTTTTCGTGTTACGAGTGCTTGCGGGTGCGTGACATAAGTACTGGAAGCCAGTAGCGTCTACAGATGGGGTTATCATGACTAGCAATCGCGTTTATTTTTAGAAATGGTATTCAACCGCGGCCATTTCCGCAACCGGAGCTCGTTCTACCGTCAATAACGCACAATGCCCACACTGCAGGTACTTTGTTCACTATCTTTAAGTAATTAAAGTTGCTTTCTTTGAAAATACCACAAGGTTTCACGAAGTAGTAAAAGGAATTCTCGGGCTATCGACCCTATCGTGCAGCCAGATTTATCAAGCGCATTCAACGAGTTGACTTAATTAAGCTGGCTTATAGTTGTTTCTTCCTGCTTTGGTCGCATATCGAATGGATTTGGCAAAATACATCCAAAAAATTTATTTATTGACTAATGTTAAAAACTGCTGCTATATTGAAACTGCTTCAGTAATGCTCAGGCTACACTTCAACTTGCACTTCGGTAATTATTTATAAGCTTCGGCGCTCGCATTATCTTGAATTATGGAGATACTTATTTGCAAGAACTTGCGGCTTGTCGCATGAAATATGAAGAGGTAGTAATGAAATAAATTGCGAAAATAAATTTTCCCGGCATGTTGGGAATTATTAATTTTTCCGCATGACTGGCTTAAGTTTTGTTTTCCGCTGACGATATATTATTACATTGTAGATTTGCTGTGCCTATGGAGCAGTACATCAAGTGTCCTTGGGTGGAAGAACTCGTGCAACAATTGCAAAACGATACGAACAAAATCGATTTCAATAAGTAAGGTTTTTTTACAGTAGTTAAGACTTTGGCATTTTGTTATCATTATATTTTATAGGATTTTGAACGATCGCTGCACTACTCATAACGAACAGAAGACAGTCTACTGCAATACATGTCAGACATGCATTTGTTCTGGCTGTGCACTTTTTTCCGGCGAGGTGAAATTTATTGCGCTAATATTCACTACCCTAGCTTACTAAAGTACCTATGTAATACTCGTATTAACCACCTCTTTGACATTTTTTAGCATTCGATCCATTCTTTTAGCCCCATTGATACAGTGTATCGTACAAAGAAAAACGTTCTCCGTTCGGAAATGGAGAAGTTATTGCTTCGTATGCGAGCTCTTGAAGGGAAGCGCAAATTACTGGTAACGTGGCTTATCTGAGGAATTTGTCAGCTGGATTACTTTTTTTTCTCATCAGGATCGTAGCGTGAAAAGGGTCAGATCTGCCAAAGACGAAAGTGTGAAAGAGTGTGAAGCGATCATAGACGCCACGAGAGTTGATCTTTCCAAACAAATGTCGGAAAAGCTTGGGGAATTGCAAGGTAACTTTTGAGTTTCACGTTTTCAGCATATTCTGTTTTTCCGCCTTTCAAAATTTACTGAAACTATGCGCTTGGCTTATTTCAACAGGAGACCGTGGGCTCATTGTATTTGAGATTGAAATTGTGGGCCAGATTTTAAGAAACATGAAAGATCTTTTGAACAAGGCGCCTAAAAGTAATCTGATTGCACAAAGCGAGGATTTACTCAAAGAAACCAATAACGTCCTTGGTAGAGAAATCCCTTCGTTCCAACCACTTCAGGGAATACAGTACAAAAAGTACTTGGGCCTGCGAACATTTCCATTCTGCTGATTTGTTGAGCTTACAGATTTTCGAATTCTTCAGCGCTATTGTTCCGAATTACACGGGCGACGTTTTCGTAGTTCGGGATTTTGATAACCTTGCTGACAACGCGGAACCAATTTTCAGCCATTCCATTTTTTCCGGTGGTCTTCGGTGGAGACTGAAAGTTTATCCGGTAAAAATACTTACTATCTTAGTGTTCGACTTACTGTTACTTTTTGAATGTCGCTTAGGAGCGAACCCGCTTGTATTTTTGTGAACCTGTTGCTATTCCCATAGTTTTTTTAGCAGAAATGAAACATACGAAATTTTATTAGGAAATGAAACGTTTATCTGGATTTAAAATAATTCTGAGCATATGTGCTCGTGGTAGGTAGCATCTTTATCTCTCCATAGTAATACGAGTATCTATCTCCCACGCCGTAGCTAGTAGTTTTGCATTTCTTATGACGTAGCTGTGAGAGAATAACATTTTTCTTCCTTTTATGTAGTTTCTAATAAAATGCGTAATGCTTTTAATTAGAATGTTTCGAATTGAATAGTTCGTCGATAAGTCAATTTTCGATTTGCATTTTTAATAGTTATGTGGCGTAAATTATAAGACAGGGCACCGACTCAGGCTTATATTGTTTGTAAAGCTGAAGGTTATTCCGTTTCGTGTGCAGAATTATAAACCTGGAGGACTGCCAGATTCTGTTGCATGGTTATCGATATTCCTGGAGCTTTACGATGGTCCGCCTGGTAGTCACTTTCACGAATATAGGATTGATTTGATGCACCTGGGTACCATGGCCAATCGGTCGGACGCTAATCCTGATAGGAACGTGTCTAAGGAATTCTCTTCGAAATTTGAAGTCGGTGAATGCTGGGGCTCCAATCGGTTTTACGCTCGGGTTAGTGATAAATTGTGAACGCACTGAATATGATGCTTAATGGTTGTACGTGTTTTTGCAGGATCAACTGGCGGTCGATGGATTTCTGAATAATGGAATGGTTGCGATAAAATTTGAAATCAGACCCCCTAATTATGCTAAGGCTTACGAGTATGCAGAATGGTAAGGTGCCATTTTTTGCGCTCGTATAATGTACGAGGGTATTGTCCCTTAATTCTTGTTTTTAATTTAGGTCACTGGGGAAATGTGACGCTTTGTGTAAGGATCTGAAAGAAGAAAATAAAGAGCTAAAGGAATTTATCATGAAGGAGTTATGGAATCGTAATAGTTTACGTAGTCAAGAGAACACCGGAACGTCAGCTTATGCAGACGCTCTTTTTAATTCCGAAGAGGATCTCAGAGCACTGGAGAATGAAAGTGCGGCTTCCGAAATTGCCGATTTGGCTGCCCAAATGGAAATTGTACAGGTGTGTGTGTATATGGCTTGTGAGTGCAGTAGAATGACATTTTAGTTTTTGTCCGTGATTACGGTTTATGCTGCGGTCGTACTCCGTATTTAATTTTCCGTATTTAATTTTCTTGATTTTCAGCTGATGCACGACAACGAATGTATGCGAATTCCTTCAAACCAACAACATCAGCTCCATGGTTCTGCAAACACACATCTGCGTCGTGCATCGTCTCCCGTTCCATCTTTTGGAGATTGCTCTGGGCCGTATTTATTTCACAACCAGTTAATGTTAGCCGATTTATGTCAAGTCGTAGCTGATCACTGCCTGGAAGACGGTCAGAGCAGCGGAGAGTCTTTGGAAGGAACTACGAGAGCGGATACCGATGAAGGATGCAATGACGGACGATCTGGTGACCGCACACAAGAGCAAGATCAAAATTCTGATGGGTTTTCGGTAACCAGAGTAGTTCCAGAGTCGCCTCCATCTAATGATCTCTATCGCCCCTCTGTCGAATCTCAGCGACGACGCTTGGCATGTTTGAATGGAAGTAACCCGATTTCCGATAACAATGCGTTACAGCCTGGTTCCGGTGGCAGTTAAATTTAATCCATTCCTTTTTATATCCTGTCCTGTTAAATTTTTATGCTAGAGTCTGTTTTGGTTATGTTGCATGTTTAATTTTCTCTGTTTTACCTTCGATTTTGATTTTTTTTAACCTACGTTTTGTTGTTGGTGCTGGCCGCTGTGATAGTGCTTGCTTTACCTGTTCAGATCGTTACCGATTGTTGTCATTACCTAATCTCTGCACAATAGATAATCTAAAATCTGCAGCCTGCCGCGAATGCAACTGCGCATTGAGAATATGTACAGTAAACTAAATAGTACGGTACAATCGGAACGTAATTTTTATGAATCATAGTGAATTATCGTTTAACATGCTGGTATTACATAGCATGCTGGTTTTAGCATTGTGTTTCGGCGTTCTAGTAAGGGATTCATTGTTTCACTAATTAGAACACAAACACATCTGGTGCATGCTGTTCCTCTGGGATGCTGAGTTGTCGGGAGATGTTGATGGGGCGCAGATTACCCTCTATGGATCTCTGCATGCTGTGCGTCACCGGCCTAAGCATGTATACGCTAACATTCCGCCCAGCGAGAGGCTGTACCGGCCGGAAGTTATCGACTAAAAGGTCATCTTTAGTGTTGCCAGGTTTGGTTTTCTTGGAGTGGAGCTTCCGGAATGCAAGCAGATATTTCTCGGGAATTTTTAGGGGAGTCGCCATGACACTCCATATTGCGGCTTCACTGCACGGTGGTGTTGTCAGCGACCCCATATAGCGATAGAAAGTGCGATTGGCTGGTAAAAGATCAACCAACCGGAAGCCTTTCAGAACGAGATCTCGCTTTGCATCTAACGTATGAAACAACAATGTAGCTTCAATTGTACAGCACTTTCACGCGTGATAGAACGAGTAGTAGATATTCACTAAGGAATGAAAAAAATTTGCCTGGTTGGTCCAACTCGTTGAGAGTACTTAGCAGAAGGTCAAGATGTGGTGGAAATGGTTCCACAGTTCGGAGTTGTTTATCTTGGTTCGATACCTCAAACAACACACCTACAACGGCCAATCCAACAGGATCACGTGTGGCTTCCAGGTCGCTTTCGTAGCTTCGGCGATGCACAAGGTGCAGCTGCAAAATTTACCGTCAAGAAAAGAAGCTATAGTACTGTATAATTACGTACTCTGACTTAAATTCGTGTTTGAATGGGTAAGCGCATTGTGCGTTTGCAATCTTGCAAGCTTAAGCGTTTGTAACTTCATACGTTTGCTCGTATAATTATATTGTTTTAATACTTTTCTCTAATCATGTATTTGCACAGTTGCACTTTACGTTGCTTATAGTTATTATTATCACCATTGAAATAAAGGCGATAGCGCAATGAGCGGTTATTAGAAAGCTTATTAACCGAGATAGAATAGTGACATAACAAAAGTTTTTAAATTGATTAGGCAAATTCATAAATTGTTTTCGTATTCTTTTACTTAAATTTATTTTGTAAACACAGTACAATTACATCATTAATTACGGAGATATTCGTATAGAGACATACAGATACCTACTTCCAGCGCAGAGGGTTTTCCGTCGATGATGTGCTCGGATCCTCGTCCGTTGATGCCGCCCCAGTGGAAGTGGAACTGCGTAAAAGTGTAATGGCCTGGTAGACCACCATCGTAAATTTCTGGTGTGTGTGCCCAGTTTGCAGAAAACTGTACTACAGGACACAATAAACTGCACAGTCACAACTCTGCATTGCGTACTTTTATTTTGCTCATTTGTTATACAATAAGTGCATACACTTCTCGGACAGAAATAATACTCGTAGTAATATAACCTATTTATTTGTAGTGAGGTGGAAGTGAACAGATGTTACTCGTTAAAACCTTGTCCTTGTGTAAGGTCCAAGATTAATTATTTTTTGCTTACCGCCATGCCCGGTATTAACGGCATTCCATACGCTTTTCGAGGGTTCTTCCTCATAACTGGAAGCCTTGAGGGCATCGCGCTGTGGATCAGAACCTGCTCTAATTGATTTTGTATCAATGGCGACCGGTGATTGGCGACTGTTTTTGCGCGATGAGTCACACTGAGGGAATTTCTCTTTCCACTTTTCCGGCGTCAGTTCCTCTTCTAAAAAATAATCTTGATATTCAGCAGTTTTTTAGTGTCTAAACATATACTAGTACTATTTGCTCTTAATGAGGTTTGAATAGTCACAAATTCAAAGATCACTTGACTGGCAGAAAGTCCCAAGTTAACACAACATGGAAAAGCATCATTGCATCGAACTTTGTAAAAAGGTCATCGCATATTTGCATGACGCAATCCTCACTAAAGCCGGTTTAACGGTCAGTTATGCTGTAATGGTTTGCGTAATTATAAAAAAATTGCGAATATATCCAGTCTTTCCACATAGGTATTCCACGCAACTGATTTTGAAAAATGTGAGAAATGTTGTAACTTCTTCATTGTGTAATATATGAATCTTCTCAACGGTGTATGTCTAATAAATTATTTGAATTGTGTGTTTTTCTCCATCACACATGGTGTATGTGTGAAAAACGTGTTCCGTGTTACCTGCACCGCTTCCCGTAGCCGATGGCGGGTGATCAGGATAATTGTATCCCCAGTGTACAACGGAAGGCGCGGCGTCATTCTTTGGTTTTTTATTAATGTCCACAGCATTTTGTTTGTTATTGGGTGGCGGAGTAGCAATGTTGGCGACCACTGAGTTTTTAACAGGTGTAGCAGCACCGACACCTAACATGAGAAGGTCAACAATAATTCTGAATGGTGCTGTAAAGTAGTATGCAATTATATCCTTTGTTACTGAGTTACTTTCAAAATACGAGGTACTTGTAAACATTTTAAATAACCGTTCGAAGTACAAAGCGGTAAAATTCTACAAGCGAAAATGATAAATTTACCGATGGCGAGGCCGGAGCAAACTAGCAGGGCGTAGAGAAATGAAATTATTCGCCTGTGGTAAACCATAGCAGCGTTTTGACATGAGGACATCATGCACAAAAAGAATAAATATTTTCTAACTTCTGGTTAATCTGTTAACGCAACTTTAACTTTACTTTGTGCAGGTACGTCCATCCGTAGTGATGAAATTAAGTACAGTAAATGCTGAATCGTTTTTGCTTCGATCAAAAAATACTCGGAGTACGAGTACTCGATCTTGCTTAAAGTGTAGTACAAAACACACGCACAGTTCAGTACAGCAATTACCAATTAAACAACATAGGCGGGATAGGTAACTGGAGTAATTTATTTTATCAGGAAGGACAATTAGCAGTAGATATATGAGAAATTATGCTGCAGTTTCATTGCGATTTACCGTAATCGGTACACCAGTACCAAGGTGTATAATTATATTACATGTACTGATCAGTTTAATACCAGCGCGTCACAATATGTACTAATGATATGTTTGCGTAACTCCCTACTCAACTGCCGACGATACCACAGCTAAATGAGCTATTAATTACAAACGAAACGACAAAAATGTTGGCTTTAGCTTTTGGAAATTTCACGTAAAAGTGGACCTGATCGCATCTCTTTCACACTGTCGTCGACAATTTTGTTTTACGTATAGGTTGCTCTTAAGTTTTCACTATAAGCTCGGTGACTTGACATAATGTGCTGGAATTATCTGAACCTTCCGGCATTTTGAGAAATGTTCTGCGCCAAAATTGTTATGCGACTGTGCAGATACAAATAAAAAATGCGGTACTGCTGTACTCTCGTCGCAGTTATGTTGATATTACAATTTATAAAAAATCAAGGCGCGCAGTTTAAACAATCTAGAAATTATCATTTCAAAAAATGCAAGGTCACCGGAAGCGTTTTAAATCGAAGAAGATGTTCGCGCGCGGTTGCAAATCGCCTGAAGTATTTATGGGCCCGCGCACGAATTCTTGCTGTAGTCTGCATGTATTACAGAGTACGTACCCAAAACTATTGTACTTAGCTGTTGATTTTTTATAGCACTCTATCGGCCGCCTTTAAATTACTTATTGTTAATTTGGTTTAGACTTTTCGTACCGTGATTGTATTGTTCAATGTTAACGTGCATACACTATCAGCAAACCAGTACAACAAGCAATTCATAATTTTGTCAGGGTTACATTTCATCTTCTCCTGGATAATAGCGTTATTGTATGTTTTTTATTAGATAGGAACCAAACATAAAACGATACTACCTGATACACAAAACGAGCGTGTAGCTGGATGTTAGTACAAGTATGCTTTGTGTTCTCTTTTTCCTCTCTTTGCTGTAACTGAATGTCTGCAGATCTTAATAAGGAGTAAGGAGTGACTTGTTGTTTCTAGAGATGCTAAAAAACAAACCAAACCTAATAACATTCTTTGCGACATTCTACTGTCCGACGTTAGCAGGCGCATATACATGCGTACAAAAAATATCTACATAATAATTATGATTTATGACAGTAATGTGAGACAGATTTACATAATCCAGGTTTATCATTTTTATGCAGATTTCATGGGATATTTGTAATAGTTCTGGCACCAATAAAACAGAACTACAGTGCACCAAGTATTTCCAATAATTTTCTTCACTTGAGCTTTGTTATGTTAACACACTCTGCAAAAATATTCCACCTTACAAGTTTAGGTCAAAGCGGCCAATTAAGAATAATTTCTTGTAATTATTGTATTAATCATAATACAATAACTGATAAGAATTAAAGTAAATGGCGGTGCAAATAAGATTATTTACAGCATATATGATTATTGTTAGGGATGACGCTAGTACGTCACCATCTCCCGTGCATATGCAGTACTTATTAGCATTACACGTACGTCTTATCATTACCTGTTGCACCGCATTAACTGTGTTTAGCACTTGGCTCGATAGTCAAGACAGGTACGAGCAGTACACATACGATCAGCATTACACTGTTGCGATAACACTGGGCTTTGAAGTTCTGATCCGCTGAATGTTTTGTCAGAGAACTTTAGTCGAGGAGTTATGATCGCACAGCTCTGGAATTTCTTATGATTACTGGTTTCGACTAATAAAAGCGTAACGGAAGTCGAGCGGTGTTTCTCCCGTAGATTTTCATAGAAAATCGTTCTTCTTCTAGCCTGCCCCGTGGCATGGCTATCATGGTAGCAGATACTAAGATCCGCCAAATCTGAGCATAATTTCATATTGGAAGCAATATCTCATCTTTGTCGGAAGTTGGTGTGGTGGACGCTGATTCTCCAAAGCAATATCGTCGTGAACTTTTATTGTACAGCATTGCCCTTTATTGGGATTAACTGACAGCAATATCTCGAGCCTAGTTGCAGAGTTTTGGTTTTCGTGGACTGCGGAGCGGTGAGCCACGGTGCGCGAAACCCGTGCAGTTTGGACGTGGGGTGGTGTTGCGGTGAGACACGGTTCCCGAAACTCCGTGCAGCAAGGATTGTGGATAGTCGAAGCAGTGAGTTGCCAGCAAGGCTGGTTAACTGTTGAAAACTTTCACCTTACAACTGCAGTTTTCCTTTTCTTTTTGGTTTCGTTTTGAAAATTAACTAGAAGTAAGGGACAACAGCATTGTACACAGCATTAATCTCGCATTTGACAAAATACACAGCAGTTTATCTTTTGTACAGCATTTCACACATTTAGACACAGCATATTTCAGGATTAAAATACAGTTTTTACATACTGTATTTTAGCATTGAAAACATTAATTTTTCGCATTATTCTGACCTTTAAAAGCCAGAATTTGTTTTGAATTTCCGCATTCAACGAGCAACGTCTGACCCAGACGTTGAACGGCAGTGCGTCATTTGTCTCGAGCGTCAACCTGTTGCTGCCTGAACAGCCCAGGCACAGCATTTCCGCATAGCAGCTCATTCAGACTGGCACAATTCATTGTGCCAGCTGAAGATTTTAAACTGTGATAAGCACGTGCCTAGCACGCCTTGCACTAGAAACTGAAAACAAGTTACGTAACGCGTGCAGCATGTAGCTGCACGCGCCCTGCATTACTGATTGATTTGTCGGTGCATAATTTCAATAAAGCGATATATCTGTAATTAAAGCAGTATTGTGAAAATCTGTAGGCAGCATGGAAGAGAAGCGGTCTCCTGTGAGAGACTTGCTTAATGCTGTCGGAAGTCGCATTTTCAAACCGGCCCAGGTCGTTAATAAACCTGGTGCACAAAAGCAGCAAGAAGAAGCAGTCGGAAAGAAAACTCAGAAAAGTAAAGCAGTATCCAGCAAAACAGCAGCAGTAAAACATAATGTGAATACTCGTGCGCATGCTCGTGCGCATAATCCGCAGTCAGCGTTTGCATTATTAGCTGATGCTGCCATTCAAAATACAGGAGCGGCAGCATTTGCGCGTAGCAGTAAACTGCAAAGATCACCAGCATCTACATCGGCACTTAGCGCACTTAGTGCTAATGCCGAAAAATTACCGGAAAGGTCAGCATCATCAGCCTCGCAGGTTTCGTATCAGTCTATCGCTAGCAATATCACTCATGATTCAGAATTAATATCAATTTCTGATCGCGATCAAGAAATTGCATTTGGTGACGAGCATGAACTGACGTATATTGATAAAAGTCAACAAGCATTGTCGAAGCAGTTACCTGTTGATAACGGTGATAATAATGAGCATATTGAACCTTCTAGCAATGAGTCGGATATTCCGCTCAATTTATCGGTCAACAGATCTCCATCTGAGGAGAGTCTGTCCAGTAATCCAGCATTTCATTCTCCGATGCATAGTTCTCCTAAAGAACTTTTACCGGAAAATACGCAGCAGCATTACGATGAAATTCAAGCATTATTGCATAAGACACAGCAAGATTTGGTAGATACGAGTAATCGCTATAAGGAATTAACTGAGCATAATGAAAAATTAAAAGCAAAATTACTGAAAGCACATGATGAAATTTTTCGTCGTAGAGAAGAAAGTAAGCATGCAAATGATGTCTGCAAGGCATGGTCAGAAGAGAAAAGCAATATGAACAAGTTATTGAAGCGCATGAAGCAACTGAAACAAGGTATAAAGCAGAAATTGATCGGCAGTTCAAGTACTAAATTCTTGGAAGCATGAAATTATTAAGCTCCGTGCAGAAGCAGAAGAGCATAATAAAAGCATACCGCAAGCAGAGGCTATTACTAAAATGGCTGATCAGTTGAATAAATATAAGGATAAATATAAGCATGAACAGGCTGAGCGTCTAAAAATCTCAGAAGAATTAACGGCCACAGTAAATTCCTCGCAGATGTATAAAGCACATGGAGAGCAATACGAAAAGTTGTATGAAGATTTGCATAAAGAACATGCTGAAGCACAGGATCGTATCGCAGAATTATTAAAGCATAAATGTGTCATTAATAAGCAGCATAAATCAGCAGTAGTTGACATCAGTGATGATGATGTTGAAGCTGCACCGGTTGTACGGAGAGCAGCCGAATCTCAGCAAGATGATATTACGCAGAAATTAATTACCGCATTACAGGCAGTAAAGCCCGCAGTACACTTTAAAGGCAAATTTAGCGGTAACAAGGACGATGTGGAATCGTTCCTTGTTCAACTGGATAAGACCGCATTAACGTACGGTTGGGATGACGCAACTAAAATTATTGAATTCAGCAATGCATTAGAGAAAGATGCGAAGCAGTGGTACGGTTCTGCATCTGTCGCGGTGGATGCACCGACCAGCTTCGACGAATGGAAAAAAGCATTTGTGGAGCGCTTTGGCGATCGCGATAAAGCAATTAACGCATTAAATAAATTAGCTACGAGAACATTTGATAAAAATAAGGAAAGCATTGATGCATACTATCAAGCAATGTGTACCTTGCGCGACCGGGCAGGTTTTGCCGGTCCGCCGGAGCATTGTCGTGAATTACCTCATCCAAGGGTTACGCACGTTTAAAGCATTAAAGGATGATATTGTTCTGCGCAAGCCACGTACGCCCGCTGAATTTCTAAGCGAGGCCAGGTACCTAGAATCAATGATGCCCAGTAGATACAGTACAGATGAGTACTCGGTAAATGTACTGCAGCAGTCTACTTCCGGCAATATTGTACAGCAGAAGCCGTTTAACCCGGCAAATAAATTTAATAGACAGCAGTTTAGAAGCAGTAATCGAGTAAATCCAGCAGCAAACAGCAAGCTGTCGTATGCGCAGGCAGCTGCGCAGCCGGCAACTATGAGCAATAATCAACCGGCACCACAACAGCAGTCGCGTGCCGGTCCGCAGCAGGGCCCTCGCAATGTGCGTACCACACCGCGCCCTGGTATACCGTATTGTACGCATTGT